AAAGGATTAATATCCAGAATATACAGATCAGTGAGATCAGGGCAAACAATTCAAGAAAGTTAAAAGATTTAACAGGCAATTCACAGAAGAAACACTAGGAGACAATAAACAGGAAAAGCTGCTTAACAGCTGTAATAATCCAACAACTGCAAACTAAGACAGTACTGTCCCCACCCGACCCCCGAATCCAGGGGACAAACAGTTGAGAGACTGAGCGGTGGGCGGGTGCGGAGAGCGGCGCGCGGGGACCGGGGGCTTATTTTTGCTGCCAGCGCTGTTTTGGGGTCTACATTATTTCTAGAGGGACAGTCTCCTGGGCTTGAGAGGACACTTGATAAGCATTTGTCATGGATCTCTGATACTGACTGCAGACACAGTTCTTTACTCTCAAAGCGGCAAGTTTAATGGAGTTGAAATGGAAAAGCAGCTGAGTTCCTTCCATTGTTTTACTGACAAAAAAAAATTAGAACTCGTAACCGTCCACGAACTGTGGACGAAGGATGGGCGACAACGAGAATCCGAGTCGGGAACTGAGGGACAGATGCTTCCCCGAGGGCACCGGGCGGCACCGTCGGACCAGAGGGCCGGCTCGGGGAGCCGTCGTGGGGAGGTGCGGAGAACCCGCGACCCAGCCGGCAAGCCTCTTCTGCGGTCAACATGGCACCCGAGAGCCCCGTGGGCGTGGTCTTGAGCTGGACTCGGCCAATAGGCAAGAGGCGGGGCGGGGCACCCTCCCAGCACGCCTTCGAGCGGGGGGCCGGGCTTCCGGGAGTGTGAGCCCTTGCATTGGTCGAAAATGGAACAAGGGTGTGAGAGAGGCCAATCGCGCTGAGCCTTGGTAGGGCCGTCGCCATAGCAACGCGCGGAGCCACCTGGGAGAGGTCTCTGGAGTGTGACCCACAGCCTCAGCAGCCCAGGTGCGGCTGTGACCTCCCCGGGTCAAGGGCCGGTTGGCTGCTAACCCCGGTTAATCCGCGCGTCCAGCGCTCCGACCAGACTGCCTGGCCTGTCTTTCCCTTCATTGTCTGGCCGTCAAGCCCTCTCACCCTGCACTATACTCAGCCCACTAACAGCCGTTCCTGCTTCTGCCTACAGCTTCCAAGTGCCAGATGATGGAGGAACGTACCAACCTGATGCACATGATGAAACTCAGCATCAAGGTCTTGCTCCAGTCTGCGTTGAGCCTGGGCCGCAGCCTGGATGCGGACCATGCCCCGCTGCAGCAGTTCTTCGTAGTGATGGAGCACTGCCTCAAACATGGGCTGAAAGGTGAGCCTGAGGGGGCGTCCGGGGCGTGGGGATTCGGGCTCGCTGTTTGCGCAGCGTGTGTTCATCCATGCCAAACATTGTTCTGGGTGCTGGGATAACAGCAGTGCACAAGGCAAACAAGGTCCCTGCCCACAAGACGCGACATTCTAGAGTGGCGCTGTCAGATGGAAATGTGCAAGCCACACGTGCGATTTCTAATGCTCTAGTAAACACTTTAAAAAAAAAAAGTAAAAAGAAACGGACGAAATTAGTTTTTAGTAATATATCTTATTGAACCTAATACAGCCAAAATATTGTCATTCTGACAAACAGATATTTTACATTATTTTTTATATTGAGGCTTAAAAATCCACGTGTTTTATAGTTACAGCACACCTCCAGTGCACTAGCTGCATTTCAAGTTCTCATTAGCACTTGTGGCTAGTGACTACCTTAGGCAGCACAGTTCTAGAAGAGGAGACAGACAAAAAACTCAGAAGCAAACATAATTACAAAATGCTACAAATTCAGGGAAGCAAAATGGGTTCAATGATAGGGAATCAAGGAAAAAAACCTTTCAGCTAGGATGGGAAGGTCTTTCTGGGGAGGTGAAATGTGAGCTGAGACCTACAGGAGAAGGAGTCAATTGTGCAAAAGTTTAGGGCAAGAGCATTCCTAGAAAAACACAACCAAACACAACAGGTGCAAAGATCCTGAGCGGGACGAACCTTGGTTTGAAGAAGGCACCAGGTAACTGAGATGCGCTGAGAAGGGGATGAGGTCAGAGAGGTTGAACAGGCTGGATGACATAGGCCTTTATAGGTCAGGTGAGGAGCTGGATTTTATTCTAAGAGTATTTGGAGGATGTTCAGCAAGGGAAATACAAGATCAGACTTATATTTTAAAAAGAACTTCCAGCTATGTGGAGAACCAATTGTAAAGGTGGAGACATGACAATTTAGCATCAGGGAGACCCATTAGGGGTTATTGCAACGATTCAGATGAGGGATGGTGGAGATGGTTTGAAATCAAGCATTGATTTTGGCATTAGATGGGAAGGAGAAAGGGGAAGGATTTCACAGGTAATTATTTGAGCACTTGTTTTTTGTGAGCAGTGAGTACTTGGGAGAAAGAGCACAGTGGGTCTCTCAGAGACACCCTGTCATCAGAGGGAGGAGGGCTCATTTGTTTCCTGGCCTCTCCCAGTCCATAGCTGGGACTGAATCAGGAGGAAGCAGTGCAGCTCCGTGCAGTCATTTGGCTTTTAGGAGAGAGGATGTGGGCCCCTGAAGACATTTTGCAAACTGTTCTTATCAATAACATTTTTGTTTTCCCTTTTAGTTAAGAAGAGTTTTATTGGCCAAAATAAATCTTTCTTTGGTCCTTTGGAGCTGGTGGAGAAACTTTGTCCAGAAGCATCAGATATAGCCACTAGTGTCAGAAACCTGCCAGAATTAAAGTGAGTGAGAAGTAGTTGTATCGATTTGATGTTTTAAAAAAACAAAACTCTCTTGTATTTACTGATTTCTCAACTCCTTGCTGATAAAGCGCTTTCTAACTTAGAACAAATTGTTGCACGAGCCACACTCTACTTTAGTCCCAGCTATGCTTTTCATTTTCCACATGAGCTTGGGCAAGCTTTGCCCCTCTCTGAGCCTCAGTTTCCTTTCCTTTAAAATGAGTACAGTGAGTCCTGGTTGTCACACAAGGTCAAATAGTGTGAAAAGATGTCGCCTAGAGAGCAGTTACAGGAGGGAAGGGAGGAGTTGCACCTCTGACATCCTGGCTTTGGATGCACCTGCGCGGTCTTCTGCATAATGCACTGTGAGTCAGACTTAAATTCCACAACAAGGGACAGTTGTGAAAAGGCTGGGGCTGATGAATCACGTGCCTTGTCTGGGTTTGCCCTTGGGATCCCTGTATATAGGCTCAGAAATCAAAAACTGAGTGGAACACAAAAAGGCATGGCATGGAATCTGCGTTTAAAAAGGGGCCCTAGAGATCCTTAGGCTAAAGCAGAAGAACCCCGCGGAGCCTTCCCCAGCAGACCCAACCATCCAGCCCCGGGCCTTCTCCTGCAGGTCTGGTCTGCTCCATTTTCAGATAATAGCAGCCACCACTGTGAACTAAAGGCCTGCCGTGCACCAGGCGCTGTGCTAAGGCCACTTCGTGATCTCGTTTTATCCTCCACAACAAGCCCCTAGGAAAGCTGTTGGTGTCCCCATCTACAGGTGTGGAAACTGAGACTCAGAGTGGTTAAGGAACTTGCCCAAGGTCCCTCGCCAAGTGAGTGTGGAGCCAGGAGGAGAATGCGGGTCTGCTGGACTCTGAAACCTTATCAATCCCCTAACCTCCATTGCTGCCAAGCCCTGTGCATCCTTCTCAAGATAGGATTTAAGAACTCGTTCCCAAGTTCCGCCCTCTGAGCCTGCACACGCAAGATGAAAGCCTTTTGCAGTTGTTATCCTCTCATGTGTTTACTTGCTGACCCTCTCATGAGCTTCCCTTGGCTTCTGCTTTGTTTCTTCCATTCTTTATGTGGTTCTGCTGCCCATCGCCTTCCAACCAGCCCACCCCCTCAAGAGCGCAGCACTAGGCCGGTCCCAGGGTGTTCTGCCTGGAGCGGAGCCAGACTCTCCCCACTTGCATTCAGGCCTCAGTTTCCACTTAGGCAAGGGAGGCGCTTTTGAAGTCTTGTTACTCTAACAAAAAGCTTATTGTCAGCCAGATTCACTGCTTCTGTGTCCTCATTAACCCTGTGGATGCTAAACCCCTGCCGACCTGCACAGTGTCTGCCTTTTTAGGAAATAAGCAGTAGCTCCCTTTTCTTGATTCCCCCTGGAGGGGCCGTGTGAGAAACAGCTAGTGCTTTGTTCCATGAAGAGCTGCAGTGTTTTTACTATTTCATGAAATAGTAAAAAAAACTTCCAAAACTTCTACAGTATTTTGGAAGTTATGACTCATGTTTTTTGAAGGGGAGAGACAGCTCTAAGGTGGTTTGAAACTTGCAGGATGAACTTGGCATCCTGAGAGGGGTCTCTCTAGAGTTTAATTCCCTTGTCCAGTTGAGATAAAAACACCTTTTACAGCATGGCCTGCCACCCCAAATTGTTCATTATTCTCCTGCTGTGGTTTGTTACTAAGCGTACTGTTACACAATGAATACGATTTCACATGTTGGCACTTACAACCAGACAACAGACAAGGCCTCTCTCTCTCTCTTGAAAATTAAAAACAGCCTTTTAAAATATTATTATCATATACCCTTTAATTAGGAAACAAAAACAAGAGAAAAGAGATGTTTTTGTGAGCCCACTACTCAGGAAAAAAACCCAAAACACTGAAGTTAGTGTCAATATCCTTCTAGATCCTAAAGGTGCGAAGTCTGATGAATAGAAAAGACGGATTCCCCTCCGCCCCCCCCAGCACTGTGTTGCATTCCTTCCGTGGAAGACTGGTACTATCCACGAAAGCCACCACGGCACCGACCCTTCGAGCCGGCATTTCCACTTCTCGGTGTTTCAGCCCACAGATCTAACATGTGGAAATGACACACGTACAGAAATACCTACTGCAGTGTCATTTGTAACAGCAGAAGGTTAGAAACAGCCTAGATGAAAAACCAGCTAAATAAATTCTGGTGCAGCCCAATACTGGAACACTCTACAGCTATGAAAACATGAGTGAGAAGTTCCTTGTGTGTGGAAAGAATTCCAAAATGACAGATATTCAGTGAGATAAGCAAGTTATAGAACAGTATGTATAACATTACTAATTTTTTTATAAAAATGGGAGAAAATAAGAATTTCTTTTCATATGCACAGAAACGTTTGGAAAGTGCACCTGAGCTAAGAGCAGCGTGTTACTGTATGGAGACGGGGAACGGGAAGGAGCAGCACGCAGTGAACTGTACATGCTGTTTAATAGCCCTTTTTCCATTTAATATGAGATTTCAAACCTTTTTCCCATATTAAATATTCACCCACAATGTCATTTTTTTTTCGATGAATAACTTCTCTATCACATCATTTCTGAAATGAGCACATAGCATTCTGTTGTATAACCACCCCCCACCCCACCCCCACTTTGAGCCTTGGGGTTGTTTTCAAATTCTCATTATCCAAACAGTGCAGTGGTGACCATCCCCAAACATGCGTCTTGTGTGCATCCTCGGTCACTTCCCTGTGTTACTAGATGTGTTGACAGCCTGCTGTCATCAAATGTCTGTTGTACCAGTTTACACTCCCACCAACAGCACACATCAGTGTCCACTTTCCCCATCCTGCCAACATCAGATACCCTTTTCTCTACTATATTTCCTTTCCTTTTTACTCTGGTTTACCGTCATTTGTTGGAACGGTGAAGAATCCAAAGCCTTCTATACTGATTAGGTTGGGCGCCCTCTGACGCTTTGACGCAGATACAAAGTGACAGCAGTAATTCTAACGTTCTGGGATATTACACATGCAGTTACTCTGCTCAGAACAGAATCTTTTTCTCTTAATTAGTGTTAGGTCTACAATTGGGAGGCTTTTTCTTTTCCTTTAACGTTTAAAACAGATCTTTTCAAAATCGCACCTTTGAGATTGGTTGTACGAGGTGAACAGTACTGAACCGAACACTTAAAGCTGGGTGAGCTGGGGGCAGGGTGGACATAGCTCAGTGGTAGAGTGCACACTTAGCATACGCAAGGTCCTGGGTTCAATCCCCAGTACCTCCATTAAAGAAAAAATGGGTAAGGTGGTAAACTTTGTTATGTGTATTTTACCCCAATCAAAAATACAATTGTACCTTTGAGCTAATGCCTTAGAAATCTTGTGGGACTTTAACACTTCAACAACTATGTTCAGGGGGAGGGTTTGGCTCAGCAGTAGAGTGCTTGCCTAGTAGGCTTGAGGTCCTGGGTTCAATTCCCAGTACCTCCATCAAGTAAATAAACGTACTTACCTCCCCGCCAAAATAAAAATAAGAATCTCCTGACAACTATGTTCTATGTTAGTCTTTTGCAAGAATGTTTATCCATTATACAGTCTAACCTGATACTTCCTAGCTCCCTGTGAAATTTTATGAATACTTGCCAAGTTTTATCTAATTGTATTTGTTCCAGAAATCAGCTGTTTGTGGCTTAAATCTTTTTCCTTTTTTATTTCTTGGAAAAGAAAAAGTACATGCCCGTGATACAGGTCTCAGATAGTCCCCAAAGGAATGAGCCATGCCCTCAGCCTTCCCCGTGGGCTCCCCCAGCCGCCGGGACAGCTCTGCTCACAGGTTCTCTGCATCCACAAGCACAGGCGTGTGCATGTGGGAATGTGTGTTTCTCCTGGGCTCAGCTGGCTCTTTCCCCTTGGTGTTTTGTTACTGGCATGCTGTAACAGTTTGACTCTCTGTTTGGGTTCTAGGACAGCTGTGGGAAGGGGCAGAGCTTGGCTTTATCTGGCACTCATGCAGAAGAAACTGGCAGACTATCTGAAAGTGCTTATAGACAATAAACATCTCTTAAGGTATTTCATCCCCTTTTCTGCTTGCCTTCTGGTTTGTAAGTAATTAGAACACAGTTCTGTAAATCATTTGGAATTAAAACAAGGATGTAGAGGGGAGGGTACAGCTCAGTGGTAGAGCACATGCTTAGCATGCACGAGGTCCTGGGTTCAATGCCCAGCACTTCCATTTAAAGAAAGAAATAAATAAACCTAATTACCTAAATAAACCTAATTCCACCCCAAAAAAAGTTTTTTAAAAATTTAAAAAATAAAAATAAACAACGATGTATAATGTACACAGCTTTTATTCAAATTATTTTTAAGTGTAAATATTCTGTGGCTTAGTTTTAAAATAGTATTTTATTTTTGAGCACTGATATCTAAAAGTCATTATGAATGAAGATTCATATTACTTTTCATTTTGAAAAGCCATTTGAAGACAATTCCTCTAAAATACCTAAGATGAGGTAACCAACAGCCTTCTCCATTAAGTGTCAACAAAATGACATTTATTTGATTGGATGATAGGAGGGGGAAAAATGACTTTAACTAGATTCAGGGGCAATTTTCAAGTCTAAAACCCTGCTTTTTGTAAAAGAACAAACCTAGATTACCTGTTTTAGGATTCCATACTCAGTTTGTAAACGTTTATATCTCTTGGCTTCAGTAAAGATGAACTGGCTGTCTCTGAAATTTATGACTGAGTTCATTTTTTATATTTATAACTATATTAGCAAAATTTCTAAGAGGAATTTTCTCCAGGATATGAGAATGTACAAGGGAAAAAAATCTCTCTAGAGGTAATTCCTTTGTCTAACTGAAATAAAAGTATCTTTTATGATACGGCCTGTCACCCAAAATTTTCAAGTCATGGCTTATTATTGAACATACCTTTACAGGATAAATACTGATTTCAAATAGTTCACATACTTTGCACTTTGAGTACAGTTACACTGAGTAACTTTAAGGTACAGATTTTGTTCCAGTGAACTAATTCTTAAAACAAGTTCTCATGCACTCACACCCACAATGGTGAATTAGCAAATCCCTGGTGAGCAGAGCAGTAATGGATGGCGCCTACTGCACGTGGCTGAGGGGACTGGGGCAGGTAAGGAGGTACAATCAGCCAGTGTTGTCCTGTGGGTCGCAGGGAAGAAGGAAGGGCTTTACTCTTGGGGGAAGGGGAGGCTGTGGGATCCCACTTCCTGTTGACATGAATGTCAGTGTAGAAGTAGTTCATAGGGACACAAAAGAAGGAGTCAGGGGGCAGGAGAGGCAGAGTGATGTTCCGGAACACAGGCACCAAGACATGAGAAGGACTGGGGGTCCAGGATCCGAACGGAGGAGTTCACCTTGGACCAGAGGTGGGAGGAGCCACAGGAAGAGAGGCGAGGCTAGGGAGGAAGCAGCAGCACACGAAGCAGGAGCCGGAATGAGAGGCAGAAGGAAATTCGGACAAGGGAGCCTCTGACTCCCGGTGGGGCTGGCAGCCAGGCCGCGGGCTAAGAGGCCACAGGGCAGGTGGGTCCGGGAGAAGGCTGGTGAAGGTGTTTCTGTCCTGTGGATCCCTTTTCAGTGAGTTCTATGAACCTGAGGCGTTAATGATGGAGGAAGAAGGGATGGTGATCGTCGGTCTGTTGGTGGGACTCAACGTGCTTGATGCCAATCTCTGCTTAAAAGGAGAAGACTTGGATTCTCAGGTAAAACGGGAATTTTAACTCTAGATGGAATGCTTTTTTGGGCCAGGGGTTTTACGGAGAATCTGCAGACGTGTGCTGAACCCCCGAAAGGAGCAGGGGGCACCCGGCACAGGACCGAGCAGCTGGCGAAGGTCTCGGGAAAGGGTGAAGACATAGCTTGGGTGCACAGGGAACGCATGGTGTGTCTGGGGTCAGGAAGCAGTTCTCGGTGGCTGGGACATGGGGTGCTCCGTGAGTGAGGGGACGCTGCAGGCGGGGTGGAGTTATCCTGACACCAGTGACATGCCAGCAGCTTCAGCTTTTGTCCCTGGAGCTTTGGAAGCCGTAGGAGGTTTTTAAGCAGGATCCTGAAATGATCAGGCCTGGGATTGAGGAAGATCAATCTAGCAGCCATCCAGGTCGTGAGTTGAAGTAGCCAAGAATACAGAAAGCAAAAACATTGAGCAGGCAAGTCTGAAAGTCCCGAAAGGTTGCATAGGAAGTGGGAAGGTGACTCAGAGAGATCTGATAGAGCAGAGCCCCGAGGAAAGCAAGCAGGAGGGTGCAGGGTGCCCTGTGAGGTGGGGCAGCCCTCTGCACGGGAGCCAGTGAGCAGGGCTGAGGCCTAAACTGGTGGCCGGGACTGTAAATCAGGACACCGTGCCCCATCGTCGCCTCCACCCCTCTTCAGGGCATCTGTAGCTGTGGATGGGCCACCACCTGGCCTTCTTACCACCACATGTTTGGACACGAAGCATCTAAAGCTTCCCCAGTCCCTTCGGGGCCAGGTCAGCTCTTTTGGTTTTTTGTAACCTCTCCTCTCTCTCTCTCTTTTTTTTTTTCAGTAGTTTTCTTGTTTTTGCATGTTGAAAATTTTTCAAAAACTACAGAGAAGTTTTTTCGAAAAGAATCAAAATATCACATATAATCCCATTATGTAGAGACAGCTAAATGGGTGTTACATTTGGGGATGTATCTTCCCAGCACATGAATAAAGGGGTGTGTGTTTGTATTTATGCATTTCAGAGAGAGATACTTGAAGTTTCACTTTCTCATTAAACCAAAATATGATTATTCCAAGTGCACCATTTTGCGATTTTGTAATTTGCCTTTTTTTTTTAGTTTTTCACCTTTTCTACTTCTTTATTATAGATTAAAGATATTCAGCATTTTTCAGAATATTTTGTTATAAATTTCTGGTTTCTTAGGGCTTATTTTCCCTGTAGAGTTTGTTTGGTTTTTATGCAGCCAAATTTCATGGAGTTTTCTGTTATACCTTCTATATAGTATTGTGCTTAGGAGATCCTTCCACATCTAAAAATTAACCTAATTTTTAAAATGAAATATATATATTTTGCATTTAAATAATCTGCTTATCATTCATTTTGATACAGTGTGAGGTGGAAATCTAGATTTATTCTATAAATAGTAAACAGTTTTCTGAATATCATGTATTAAATATTATTTTCCTAACTAATTTGAAATTCCACCTTTATCATGTGTGAAATTATATGCTGAGGCTTATTTCTGGACTGTGTTTAGTCTCTGATTTCTTTATTTTATTTGTATGCCGGTTACATAGTCTTTTTGGTAGGGGGAAGGTAATTAGGTTTACTTGCTTTTTTTCTTCTTTTTCTTTTTTTTTTTTAATGGAGGCGCTGAGGATTGAACCCAGGACCTTGTGCGTGCTAAGCACGTGCTCTACCCCTGAGCTCCACGCTCCTCCCTGCGAAGTCTTTAATCCCTGTTCCCATGTAGTGTGGTCTATGCTCCGGCAGCTCACCTCCTGATACTCTTTCCAGTATAGCTGAGGCTGTTCATTCCGCCAGATGACTTTGAACATCATTTTGTTGATTCCAGAATAAAAACTTGAATGGGATTTGTATGAAATAATAGACGTGATAGAGCCCCCTGGCCCGTTCTCACCTGGAACACGCTGCCTCTTGTGTGTCGCCATGAAGTGTGACTATTTACTGTTGATGTCTGAGGGATCCTCTTTCTCATGTTCATTTTTTTTAACATTTTTTATTGATTTATAATCATTTTACAATGTTGTGTCAAATTCCAGTGTAGAGCACAATTTTTCAGTTATACATGAACATACATATATTCATTGTCACATTTTTTTCACTGTGAGCTACCACAAGATCTTGTATATATTTCCCTGTGCTACACAGTATAATCTTGTTTATCTATGCTACATTTTGAACTCCAAGTCTATCCCTTCCCACCCCCTACCGCCTTGGCAACCACAAGTTTGTATTCTATGTCTATGAGTCTGTTTCTGTTTTGTATTTATGCTTTGTTTGTTTGTTTAGATTCCACATATAAGCGATCTCATACGGACTTTTTCTTTCTCTTTCTGGCTTACTTCACTTAGAATGACATTCTCCAGGAGCATCCATGCTGCTGCAACTGGCGTTATATTGTCAGTTTTTATGGCTGAATAGTATTCCATTGTATAAAAATACCACAGCTTCTTTATCCAGTCATCTGTTGATGGACATTTAGGCTGTTTCCATGTCTTGGCTATTGTAAATAGTGCTGCTATGAACATTGGGGTGCAGGTGTCATCCTGAAGTAGGGTTCCTCCTGGATATATGCCCAGGAGCAGGACTCCTGGGTCATATGGTAAGTCTATTCCTAGTCTTTTGAGGAATCTCCATACTGTTTTCCACAGTGGCTGCACCAAACTGCATTCCCACCAGCAGTGGGGGGAGGGTCCCTTTTCTCCACAGTCTCTCCAGCATTTGTCATTTGTAGATTTTTGAATGATGGCCATTCTGACTGGTGTGAGATGATACCTCACTGTAGTTTTGATTTGCATTTCTCTGATAATTAGTGATATTGAGCATTTTTTCATGTGCCTATTGATCATTTGTATGTCTTCCTTGGAGAATTGCTTGTTTAGGTCTTCTGCCCATTTTTGGATTGGGTTGACGTGTTCATTTTTATTAAACGTGAATGTTGGATGCTGTCAAATACCTTTTTGGCATCTATGAAATGTCATATCCATTTTTAACAAATATTATAATTGAATTAATTTGTGATTTCCTATTGTGATATGATCCCCACATTCCTAAAGGAAACCTTGCTTGGTCATCATGCATTATTCTTTTAGTGTGCTCCTAGGTTTAGTATGTCTGTGGTTTGGGGGGAATTTTTGTGTTTCCACTTATGAATGACACCCTTCTGAATTTTCCTCCTCTATCCTGTCTTAGTCACTTTTCAGTGTCAGGATTGTATTAACTTCATAAAATAGGCTGGATAGTGTTCTTCTTTTTCCTACTCATTTTTGTACCACAGTTTGTTAGAGCAGGAATTAGTTCTCTTTAAAGGTTTGTTAAAACTTGCTGGTATGACCATTTCAGCTTTATGCCGAAAGCTTTGTGGTCCTCGGTTCTTTGACCACTTTAATTTTTTGCATAGCTTTCGGTCAACTTACTGGTTTCCTTAGTCTTAGAACAATTTTTGGTCCTTTATATTTTTCAAGACATCATTTGTTTCTTTGAGATCTATTAGTCATAATACATAGGTTTTGTTTTTAGTTAACTCTTCCCTGGTTTTCTATTGTATTACGTAACTAATTAACAGTCACATAAACAGTAACGGTCACTCACAGTTGCGGGTTGGCTGGACTCAGGGAGGCGCCTCCTAAGGGCTCCTGCAATGACAGGCAGTTAGCGCCTAGGGCTGGAACGGCTGAAGGCGGGCGCTGTCACTGTCCTCTGGGCTGAGAAGGCTCAGTGAGCTGGGGCGGGAGCAGCAGGGGCCTCTTGGGCATCTCTGTCTGCATATGGCCTCTCTAATCGGTCTCCAGCCTGGTGCCTCAAGGTAGCCAGACTTCTCCCCGGGAAGCTCAGGGCTTCGAAGATATGTGCCCAAGGGACAGAGCCAGGAAGAGGCCCTTCCCACCTTTGCTGACCCGGCTGCGGAAGCCACGGCATCCTTCCTGCCGCTCTCTGCTCCTCAGGTCAGGCAGTAAGGCTGCCCAGGTTCAAGGGCTGGGAATGTAGATTCGTGGGAAGTACAACAGAGAAGTTGCAGAAACCATCACGTAAAGCTTTGGCTTTAACATCGGTGGGGCTGATAAGGAGTTAATGCTGCACGTGGTATTCTTGAGTTGAAACTCTATCCTGCAGCTTTCTTCATATCATGACATATCCACCCTCTGCATTCCCTGTTATGGTTGTGTAGGGTTCTGCGACATGGCTGTCACAGGGCTGATTTAAATATTTCTCTTTTGATGGACCCAGTCTTCCTATATTTCAAAGGAATGGCTTCACGTACTCACACTGGCCTGGATGGTGGCAGGCTGGGGCTTTCACTCTCTCCCTCTCCTGTGCTTCGTTTCTGGACAAAGCCCCCGACTGTGAGATGTGCAAGGGGGCTTGGCCCTCCCTAGTTCCCCACAGCGGCAGAGAATGTCCCCTAAAGCACTGACTGGACCATTACACCCTAATACGGGGACAGGAGTCCGAGCACCAGTAAAGATCACCGCTTCAGTCCAGAGATCCAGGACTCCCTTTTTTCTTTATTACTTTGTACCCAAAGAACTTTGTTGATCTTTGTCAACAAGTTGATTATTGAATAAATACAAAAAATAAATCATAACTAGGTGGTAAAACTTCAGAATATTCCCTTAAATTCTGATTTTTAGTACATTTTTCTTCTAGAAGGTGATGGGGTTCTTTTTCTTTTGTTTTGTTGGTGTGATTGATTGCTACTTTATAACCTGGTTAGCCTAACAAACTGTTTGTAGGAAAGAGATAGGAATGTAAATACCTTGAATTTTAAAGATTGTAAGATTTGTGGAAAGTGGAAAACATTATTTCTCATTTAAACTTACTTTATTTCAATCAGGTTGGAGTGATCGATTTTTCTCTCTATCTGAAGGATGTGCAGGATCTTGATGGTGGCAAAGAGTAAGTACTGCATTTTAAGCTGTCCTGCATGTTTTTAATGAAATTCCAGCAAAGAATGGTACTTTTTTATTGAGGTATAATTGGCATTGTATTAGTTTCAGGTGCATAACATAATGATCCAGTATTTGTGTATATTACAAAATGATTACCACAAGAAGTCCAGCTAACATCCGTCACCATGCATAGTTACAAACAATTGTTTTTCTTGTGACAAGAACTTTTAGGATCTACTGTCTTAGCAGCTTTCAAATACAGTGTTGTGAACTGTAGTCACCATGCTTCACATACATCCCCGGGGCTTACGTGTCTTATAACTGGAAGTTTGTGCCATTTGACTGCGTTCACCCACTTTCCCACCCCTGCCTCTAGCAGCCACCAATCTCTGTATCTGTGAGGCTTTATGTTTGTTTCTTTCTTTGTTTCAGAGTCCACGTATAAGTGAGATCATAAGATATTTGTCTTTCTCTGTCACTTAACATGCTGCCCCCAAAGTCCACTCATGTTGTCAGAAGTGTCAGGATTTCCTTCTTTTTTGTGTGAATGTGAATGTGAATGCACCACATTTGCTTTATTCATTCATCCATTGATGGCCACTTAGGTTGTTTCCATATCTTGTCTATTATAAATAATGTTGCCATGAACATGGGGGTGCAGATACGTTTTCAAGTTACCTTTCATTTTCTTTGGGGTTTTTTTATGTATTCATTTTACAATGTCATATTTTTTAAATTGAAGTATAGTTGATGTACAGTATTATGTTATAGGTATACAAGATAGTGACTCACAATTTTTAAGAGTTACATTCCATTTATAGCTATAAAACATTGGCTGTGTTCCCCATGTGGTACAGCACATCCTTGGGGCTTACTTTATACCTGATAGTTTGTCCCTCTTAATCCTCCACCTCCATCTTGCCCCTCCCCCGCCTCTCTCCCCACTCGTCACCGTTAGTTCCTTCTCTACATCTGTGAGTCTGTTTCTTTTCTGTTATATGCACTAGTTTGCTGTATTTTTTAGATCCTGCATGTAAGTAATATCTTACAGTATTTGTCTTTCTTTGTATGACTTATTTCACTTAGCATAATGCCCTCTAAGACCCTCCATGCTGGGCACCAGAAACTAATACAACACTTTAAATCAACTGTACTTCAATTAAAAAGCAAACAAACAAATAGCCCATTTAAAATATGGGCAGAAGAAATGAACAGACATTTTTCTAGAAAAGGAAATGCAGATGGCCAACAGGAACATGAGAAGTTGCTCAGCATCACTAATATCAGGGAAATGCAGATCAAAATCACAATGAGACACCATCTCACATCCATCAGAATGGCCATCATCACAAAGAACACAAATAGCAAATGTTGGCGAGGGTGTGGGGAAAAGGGACCCCTTGTACACTGTTGGTGGGAGTGCAAATTGGTGCAGCCACTATGGAAAACAATATGGAGGTTTCTCAAAAACCTAAAAATTGAACCACCATATGGCCCAGCAGTTCCACTCCTGGGCATATATCCAAGAAAAACAAAAGCATTAATTCAAAACAATACATACACCGTGCTATTAACAGCAGCACCATTTATAATTGCCAAGACTTGGATGTATCCTAAGTGCACACCAGTAGGTTGGATGGATAAAGAAGATGAATCATATGTATGCAGTGGAATACAACTCACCCATGAAAAAAGGGTATTTTCCATCTGCAGCCCTTTACTTTTCATATCATTTGGATAAATGCCCAGGAGTGGAATTACTGGATCATTTGGTAGTTCTACTTTTAATTTTTGAAGAACCTCCGTGTTGTTTTTTAAGTGGCCACGCCAATTTACATTCTGGCCAACAGCGCACAGGGTCCCCTTTTGTCCACATCCTGGCCAACACTTACTATTTCTGGTCTTCTTGATGCTAGCCAGTCCGACAGGTGTGAGGTGATTATCACATTGTGGGTTTGATTTCTGTGTCCCTGATGCTTAGTGGTGTTGAGCATCTTTTCATGGAACTGTTGACGAAGAATGCTGCTTCTGTGGGCGGAGGGGAGCACCTGCAGGAAGGCTGCTCTCTGGGCAGCGTGTTTTCTGGGCCATGTGTTTCCAGTGCGGTTCCGTGTCTCCCCAGCCAACCTTGCTGGTTCACTTGGGACCATGCAGACACTACTAAGCTCTGACTGTCTCTTGGTTTCCTGATGACAGTTCTCCTAGGAGGTGATCAGAAGGTTGGGGGACAATTACAAAGCATCAACGCTGAGTGAAAGTAATTTCTCTCTTTTTACGCTCTTTTTAAAAGGCATGAAAGAATCACTGATGTCCTTGATCAAAAAAACTATGTAGAAGAACTGAACCGGCACTTAAGGTAGGACTGTCTCCTTTTTCCACTGTTGTGGTCCATTCTCAGTACTCGGTAATTGCCTAGTGGAACTTTTTTGAGCTGCCGTATATTTATAACTAACTTCTTTCCAAGCCAAGAGAAAAGGTTATCATTCAATGCTCATGTGTACGGACTGGAGCACTATGATTTCTTGATGAAGAGTTTTGGAGAACTCTTTGGTCCTTCATGTTGTGCAGTTATGCGATTTAGAGAGTAACAAATGAATCCCGACCTGCCACCCTGCAGTCCACAGCCCCCTGGTTGGAAATCACTGCATGGGAGGCGCTGTTGCTGCTGGATTGGAATCAGCACACATCCCTCCAGTGTTTTTGTTTTTTTTTAAATGGAGGTACTGGGGCTTGAACCCAGGACCTCATGCCTGGTAAGCACACACTCTGCCATTGAGCTATTACCCACCCTACTAAGAAAGAGATTCTTGATCCATTCCTAGTTTATTGAGAGTTTTGATAAGGAATCGATGTTGAATTTTGTCCAGTGCCTTAGCATTCATGAAGTTAATCATGACTTTTATCTCTTAATCTAGTGAAGTGGTATGTTTTATTAATGAACTTCTTCATACTGAACCATTCCCATATCACAGGGGTAAACTCAACTTGATCAAACATCACTTTAATAATTTAACATATGTACTACTATATATAGAATAGATAAGAAACAAATCTCTTCTGTATAGCACAAAACTAGGAACTATAGGAACTATATTCAGTATCTCATAGTAACCTATAATGAAAATGAAATAGAATATGAAAAGGAATATGTACATGTATGCCTGAAACATTAATGCCAGAAATTGACACATCATAACTGACTATATTTTCATTTTAAAAATAGTAATAATAATTTAACATGTACCCTGACCTCATAGTCCTGTAGCTTTTCCCCCTGACGTGGTGTCAGGGCTGTGCAGCTTCACAAAATGCATTAGGAAGCTTTGCCTTGTTCCTGTGCCTGGGAACACCTTCAAGTTCATGACCATTATTTGCTCCTTGAAAATCTGAAGCTCCAAGTCTGCATGCAGGCAATACTTCGCCAACTTTTCAGTTTTTCCTTAGTTGTTACTTCATCTAGCTTCTCTCCTTTTGGGGATATGTCTTTTTTGGTAATTCATGTTTCCTAAGAAAAATATAAATTTTATCAATGTTTTCTAAGTTATATAGTGAGTACAGAACTGAAAATGGCATACTCCTAAAACTTTTAATTCCCTCCATATCTTTTGTTTTGTTCTCTTTTCCACTTTGCGTCATTTTGTGTTTTTCTTTTTGTCCCTCCTAATTCTTGAACCTCAGCTCATGAGCCTTGCCAGATTTGTTTCTTTGTAGCCCCCTTTCACCAGCAAGAAGCACCCGTTTGGGGCAGGAGGGTGGTTTCCTTGTCTAACACAGAGTAGCAATAAGATTTCTCTCACAGGGTTGTGGGAGAATTACATGAGTTGTTACATTGAAAGTGCTTAGAACAAGGTGGGAGCGTAGAGCTCAGTGTTAGAGCATTTGCTTAGTATGCATGAGGTCCTGGGTTCAACCCCAGTACCTCCATTAGAAATAATTAATAACCCTAATTACCTCCCCCCACAAAAAATATTTTTAACAGATAAATAAAAATGCTTAGAACAAACAGGGCCTGGCACATTGTCCAAAAAGAAAATGACTCCTATTATTTTTGTGGTTATTATTGTTTTTTTTAATCAAGTCTACCTTAGCTTTCTGTGTATTTTTCAGTATGAAAGCAGTACATATGACTTAAAGAATATGTGAAAAGTGGCACAAAGTATAAAAAAAGATTAAAAAACACCTTTGATCCTACTACCCAAAAGTCCCAGTATCTGGTTATGAATGTTACATTAGATACATGACTGCCAACACATTTTGGTTCCCATCTATCGTGTTGGGAAAAAAAATGTTTTCTTTCCAGTTGGCTGAAAAAGAAATGGGTAGCATATTTGGGGTGGTGGGGGGAATACACTGAAAAGTTCTAAATACATACATACATACATACCCACATACACCTCGTACGCATGTATTTAGAATTCTCATCTGTGAGTTAATTGGCAACCATATGACTCTGTTTCATTCAGGAAACCTAGGAATCTGTTCTCGTTTGCGGGTTGGGAAAACAGTCGGTATTTATAAGTTCACATTTACTTAATATTTTATTTTCTTTTTACAGCTGCACAGTTGGAGATCTTCAAACCAAGATCGATGGCTTGGAAAAGACCAATTCAAAGCTTCAAGAAGAGGTTTGTAACTTACTGACATTCTTAAGACAGAATGGCCAAGGCTGAGAGAAATGGCATGGTCGGTGTGTCTGACCAGAGCTGCGCGCCGGTGGGATGGGGAGTTGCCAGCTGCGGGCCGAGCTGCACGCGGGCCGGACAGTCTCAGAATTTCGCGTCCTCAGAGTGTCCGTGTTCTGCCCTGTGCGGGGCGCCCATGAGCCAGTCCAAGTGACGCAGGTTTCATGACCTCACGGTCGTCCCAGCCAGAAAAGCCCCGCTCGTGCTGTGAACGCGCTGCTCTCTCCCTCCTCCGCCACCTCCCCTGTGACTTAGTGCGCCTCCCTGCTGCCCACGAGGCCCAGGCTCTGTTCCGAGGTGAAGGGACCCGCGCCCACCCCTTCCGTGTCTCAGCCTCTCAGGAGCGTGGAACCGGTCCCCCCACAGCGTGGTCTTTCTCTGCTTTCTCACTAGGAAGAGAGAGAATGAAAGGACAGGAAGAAGGAGGGCTGAGGCCGAGGAAGAAGGCTTGCTGCCCGCTGCCCGGCAGTCTCCCTGGCGGACACATCTTGTCTCCTGCTAGCAGGAGGCGGGTTGCCCAGCCTTTCTGAGGCTTTGCACAGGTAGCGGGCCCCGGCTGCTCGGGCCTCCCCAAGCCTCCCTGGGGAGGAAGTGGGCTGTGAGGGGGGCCGGAGAGGGACCCCCGCGGTGTGGAGGCAGGTTCCCGCCGAGAGGAAAGGCCTTTGTAACAGAGGACCCCAGTTTAAGGCTCTCTCTCCCGAGGGGCCAGCTCGGAACAGCTCTGAGGAGAGGAGCGCTCAGGCTTGTGAGGGGAGCAGGAGGTTCAAAGGCAGCGTCACGGGAGAGACGTCACTGCACTTAGAACTGAAGGGCTCGAGTGCACCTGGGGTGGGTGGGCCTTCGGGCCTCAGTTCAGGGAGGTGGGTCTCGGAGCCCCACTCTCCTCACCTCCAAATCGGAGGATAATCCGTACCTCACAGTAGTGTCATCAAGCTAAATTTAGGTTAATAGCGTGCGATCGCCCTCCCCGGTACTTGGCGTGTGGCGGCGCTCGGCAGACCTTAGCTGGTTTTAGGACAAGCAGGTTCACGCTTTGTTCTCCCAGACCAGGCAGCATGCTTTGAATGAAGATCTAATTTAGCTTCTGAGACTAAACAATTGGGTTATGGCAAATGACCGTAACAGGAGATGTACTTTAGAGAAAAATGACACCTGTCTCTCCAGGGGGGCGCTCTGCGTCCCCAGGGAGTGGGCCGGGAGGTAGCTTGTGGGTTTCGCCTGCTTCTTTCCGCTGTAGCGACCAGCCCCCTCTTTTAAGGCCTAAAGATTCTTATGTGGGCACAGCCAGTCGTGTTTAGAGGCCCCGGTCCTGGGTTCAGAGTCTGAGCGGATGTAGACGCTGTTGAGGAGGTGAAGCGTTCAGTGCCTCAGGCCCCCTGTTCGTGAATGAAGCTAAGAGCACGGCCTAGTACCGAGGGCACGTCTTGCTTCTTTGTCCTTCTTAGCCTCACCTTCTATCTCCAGGCCGGTTCAGAGGCTGGGTGAGGACAGGTTGGTTAGTGTATTTACTCCTCGTCCACCTCGCCTCCCCTGCTAGCCTCTGAGCAGGTCCACCTGCTCCTACACACTTTCCCCCAAACGCCGTTAACTCATTCAGGGCACAGGAGGTGGCGTGCTTGGGCATGTCCTTAATGGTTTGGCAGCAAGTCCTCTCCCCGACTCTTTAATTCTCTCTCCAGTGGTAAGATACCTTTTGCCCATTGGCTGGAAGAACGGAAAAGAATGAAGAATCAGGAAAAAAAAAAAACCATAATCCCTTGGCTAAGTGACAGCTGTTTTTATCATTTGGTATAAACGGTCCCCATCTCTTCTTAAGCATATTTAACATGGTTGGGTTTTGGTTTGTTTTTTTTGTTTTTTTTTTTAATTAGAGGTGAGCGCATACTCTGTAACCTGCTCTATTTCTCTTTTGGTATTATATCAGAAGTGTGTTCTCAAGTCATTAAAAGCTTTCATAAACATTTTAATAATGACATATTTCTGTTTTATGTTTCCACTGTGATTTATTAAACCACTTCTAATATTGGCCATTCAGGCTGTTTCTTTATATTTTGTGTCCATTATTCTTTGCCCACATATAGTTTGCTATCATTTTTGTAAAAGAAGAAAATCTGGGGAGGGCACAGATGGCTGGGGCAGGGGTGGGAGGAAGATTTTACTGTACACATTTTTGTATCTTTGGGATTTTGAACCATGTGAGTGTGTCACCTATTCAAAACAAAGACGTAAAATATCACATATGTGAAAATAACACAGTCAATTGCTAAGATGCCAAATGTTAGTTTTAAGTTGAACAGTCAGAGTTGTTGTGATGTTAAGAAATATAAAAATCTTTCTTCATCAGCTTTCGGCTGCCACAGACCGGATTTGTTCACTTCAAGAAGAACAGCAGCAATTAAGAGAACAGAATGAATTAATCCGTGAGAGAAGTGAGAAGAGGGTGGAGGTGAGAAGCTGGCCTGGCGGCCGGGCGGCTTGCTCCTTACCCGGACGTGTCCGCCGCGCAGCTAAACACAGATGAACAACCCCCCAGACCTCACAATGTGCACACATGCTTCATTCGATGCCAGGAAGTCCCTCCTGGCCGTGCCCTCCCACATCACTCTCAGGCCACTGGGACCACTGAGGGTTTCCCAGGCACACTGCACCCTAGCCTCTGGGCCTTTGCGAGTGAAAGTTTCTGTTCCCTCTTCAGCCCCTCCCTGGGATGCTGCACCTGGCGCCCATCGGTGTGCCGGGGCCCTCCTCCTCCCGTGTCCCCATAGCTCGTTGCACCTCCCTCCAGCATAGGATCCATTTGCTGTTTGGTGGAGCTGCTGGCTTGTGGCTGTCCCATAAGATGACTCGAGGGTCAGGACCATATATATCTGCTTCATCTCGAAATTCACCCACTGCTAAAACCATGCTGGACAGGGAGATACGCGCTTAGCATGCACGAAGTCCTGGGTTCAATTCCCAGTACTTTCACTAAAATAAATAAACTTAATTCCCCCCTGAAAAATAAAAATGCTAGATAAGTACTAAATGGTGGACTGAATGGGGGCCTTTCCCACTCAGAATCACTGTTCTATTTGAAAGAAAATTAACTATAAATTGTTTTCTGAACCTACTTTTTCTTTTCAAAAATCTATTGGCTTGCTCCCATCCTTCAAGTTCAAAGATATTTCAGAATGTCTTTAAAATGTTAACCTTTCTCTATTAAAAGAGAAAAACTAAAAGCTTAAAAAAATAGAAATTATGCTATTTTTAAAAATTATGGTATATTTTAAGACACTTTGTAGTTAGCTTGCTTCCATAAGCAAACCATTCTTCTGGGCTGTTGTCTGATTACAGATAACGAAACAGGACACAAAGGTTGAGCTGGAGACTTACAAGCAGACGCGGCAAGGCCTGGACGAGATGTACAGTGACGTGTGGAAGCAGCTGAAGGCGGAGAAGAAGGCCCGGCTGGTGAGTGTCCGGGCCTGAGCATTGTCGCAGAGAGTTCCCCAGGAGCCCTCCAAGTTGCTTCTGTCCATGCCTCTCACACGCATCCGTCAGCCTGCTCTTAAAACAAATGAGTTTTTTATGCAAATGAAGTTTTTAACATGTGAAAAAAATACCTGTAAAGAGTCAGAAATTACTCCTTAAAAAAAAAAAACGGCTAAAGTTGACCACTCATTTCTGCATTTTCCCCAATTTTATAAACCTTCAGGGATCCCCGTGAGCCCAGATTCCTGGTTTCTCTGACGTCACAGCCTCGGGTCCGTTTATCTCCAGCCTCGACTGTGTGTCAGTGACCAGTGTGTTTTATTAAACCCAGTTCTTACTCCTGCTTCATTTCTTTGCTTCTTTGCAAGGCCATAGGAACACGTGTCCTGAGTTTTCCAGGACAGAACCATTTCAAAACGGTTGCACCTTTGTCGCCATCAGGCAGCAAACCACTGCAGAGATTCTAACACCACAGCACCAAACCAGCTTCTAGCAGTCGAACAAAAGATGCACGTTCTTCCAGACCCTGCGTGGTAATCTCAGGTCTGAAGAGCACGGCGTGGTTGCTGGAACTCTGGGCTCACGTTGCCACCTTCCGGCTTTGTGCTGACTGGATGCAGAGCCAGTGTTCATTATAAAATGAGAAAAGGGAAAAACTTTAGTCTAGTTATGCTCCAGACTAGACTGGTCTTCTTCCGGACAGACTTGTCTACATTTTCCTAACGCATTCTGGTGATTGGCCCAGCTCCAGCCGTGGTTACGTTCATTCCTGTGATCTGCTTTAATAACATTTTCCTTGTTAATATCCTTCTAAGGAACTAGAAAAAGAACTGGAGTTACAAATTGGGATGAAAACCGAAATGGAAATCGCAATGAAGCTACTGGAAAAGGACACCCACGAGAAGCAGGACACTCTGGTGGCCCTGCGCCAGCAGCTGGAAGATGTCAAAGCCATCAACTTACAGATGTTTCACAGAGTTCAGGTGGGGATTGGCTGTGTACCCGCATCACAACCTGGTTTCCGGCTGCTTGTCTCCGGTGGTGGAGTGTGTCCCGTGCTGCCTTTCCGGCTTTAGGTCACTCTTCCTACACAAGGAGAGAGTAGACACAGCAGTGAGGGCCTAGCATGTGCAGACCTAGTCCTAGGCCATCTATGTGTTACTGTATTTCTTTTATTTGAGTCTCCCAGCAGTCCCTGAGATACGTTTATTAAACGGGGAAATGCCAGTGACAAGGCAGAATCGAAGGGCTAAGTCACATGCGCCTGGTGGCCCAGCCCATAAATAGAGCTGAAAACTGAACTGTGCCTTTTGAGTCCAAACCTGAACTCTGCCTGTCATATCGTCACTGTCCCCTTGCCATCTGTTTACCTCTACTTCGGGGACCACGTGTTTGCCTCAAGAAGTGGAGAAGTGGGTGAAGTGTATGTGTTAGTATTGCCTTTTCAAGCTTTGCCAGTACGTTAATCTTGCTGAGTCCCCAGGCCACACAGCCGGCTGGCTGCTCCCGTCCCTGGGCATTTCAGAGCAGTCAGGGGGAGCTGGCCCAGGAAGGGCCAGTCGCGCCAGAGTCTAAAAGGCAGCACCTAACCACTGCGATGCTTTCTTTCCCAGAAGCCACCCAGAGGGATACCATTCTGTGTCCTCAAAACTTTTCTTTTTTTGAAGTTCTGTTTCCTATTTTATTGCCAAAACAATCCCACTTAGAGGGGCTGGGGGTATAACTCAGGGGTAGAGCACATGCTTAGCATGCACAAGGTCCTGGGTTCAACCCCCAGTACCTCCACTAAAAAAAAATACACACACACACACACACACACACACATATACATACATATATATATGTATGCATATGGTTCAAAACAGTCCCACTTCCTTTTCCATAGATGTGGTCTCACTCTTACTTATAGTAACATCTGTGTCAAAGATAATGTGAAAACAGTACAGATAAATTGTGTTATTTTGTCCTATCTTTTTTTGAACTATTGCATAATCAGTATTATTGTAGTAGCAACAATGAAAATTGAAGCAAAAACAGAAAAGGAAGAAAAGAGTTTTACTGTCTAATTTTTTCATGTTTTCTTCTGGTTTGGGTCGGCATGTAGACGGACATGTTAATGCACGTTAGGGGAAACTAAACTACTGTGGTAGCTTAGCAGAGCCTGAAACGGAGCGGCTCAAACACATGGAAGTATGTGTGCGTTACATAACAGTTCCCGGGAGAGCAGTTTCTCCGCCCGCAGTCATTCAGGGACTCTGACTAACGGCAGCCCCAGCTCTCAAGGCCACTCGAGCTGTCACATTCTTGCCAGTGGAAGCGGGGGGAAAGCACAAGTCTGGAGCCAGGGATTTGCTCTCAGGCAGTGAGACAGCAGGTGCACACGTCGTTCCGTCCAGTCACATAGGAAAGGGCTGGTCAGCACGGCCAGGTCCGCTGCAAGGGCAGCCTGGGACAGTCGCTTCTGGACCACAGGCCAGGTGAAGGGGGTGGGCGGGGGGAGACAGAGTTGTCTCCACTGCAGTCGGCCCCACCGAGCTGCCCCCAAGTCCACAACCCCGGCCGAAGGGCAGCCTCCTCCCCAAACCCACAAGGCCTGTGTCCGAACTAGAGGACCAGTTGTCTGTCACAGTAACCCGTCGGCCCAGGATAAGCTGATAGAGCAGGCACAGGGTCAGCGCCGAGATGCCTGTTGGGAACGAGGAGACAAGGGACACACGGGGCAGGCTCTGGACCAGAACCGTGAAGGCTGCCCGGGGCACCCAGGTCTCCATGGCTCAGCATGTCTGGCTACCCTGCTCTGCCTTCTAAGGAGCATGTTGCTGACCCCCATGGCCCCGAGGCCACCATCATCTACAGTGCATGAGGGTGGGCCCTGGGGACCAGGCCCGCCTGGTGGCTGCACAGCTGTGGCAGCCAACTCCCTGCCGGTATCAGGCTGCTGGCCTGGAGGCTGCACTAGGGGTCCAACAGTCAGGTATTTTTCGGACCAAACTGGTGGTTTCTTGGACATCAGTTTCCCTCTATGCGAGCCTCTGGTCTGCTTGCGTCCACCTGATCTGTGTGTCCGTGACCACAGTTTGTCTATTGATTAAACGCAGCTCCCACCCCGTCTTTGCTCCATCAGTCCCTCTTATGTTAGTGGCAGGTCACCTGGAACAGTAGCTCGTGGTGGGAGGAAAGCAGCCGACTCTGATCTTCGCTGCAGGACACCACAGGGCCTCCACTCTTCTCTCACTCAGTTAGGAAACCAGTTGGCTTTTCTAACCTGTGAGGCCCCTGCCTTCGGGCTCTCTCCCTGTCCACCTCTCCCTGCAAACCCCTTGCTTACAGCACATCCTAGCATTTCGGAGCCCTGGCACGGCTGGCATCGATTCCATTTTCTGAGCTTGGGCAACTGACGGTTTGACTAAATGTTTGCCATAACCAGTAAGGGTCACCCGCTTACCAGCTTGTAAGGTCTGCTTTGACAGCGCCACACGCCTGGCTGCCAAGTCAGCGCTGCACACGCTGGATTCCCGGTGGCAGCACCACCCCCACGTCCTTCCTGGCGCTGCTGGAGTTCTAGCATCCTGTGTTCACTTCATACCCATTTTTCCCTCTGGGCTTCAGATGCAGAAGATTGAGGCCATTGTATCCCTCCGTCTGGGGCACTATAATAAAACACCTCTCTTGTTTCCTTATTCCTTATGTCCCCTACCCCTATTCCCATTCTCTTTCCTCTAGGCTGGTATTCTAAGGTGTCCTTTTTATTCGTATCTTTTTATTTATGTTGTCATTCTAAAAGCATGCTGCATGATTTTCAGGACGTGCATTTTAATTTACAGAGGTAGTGTTGTGCTGTGATCTCACCCTGTTCCTTACTTCCTCTGTTGGCGCTGCATCCATCTGCAAGGCTGCCTGGTGCTGGCTTCTTAGCACAGTTTGGTTTCCCAGCGTGTGCACCCACTGCGTTTTCTTGCCTGTTCCCCGAGTGATGGGCACCCGGTTTTCCTCCCCTGCACTGGCGCAGGCAACGCCCCAGCAGCTAGCGCACACTTCTCCCTCCGGATCCTGGGCAGGTCTCTGGCAGATGTGATGCGAGTGCCCTGCCAGCCAAACTCTTCCTTTGTGTCCTTGGTTTGCATAAGCCCAGACACATTGCTTTCCAGGAGAGCCGCGCCAACACACGCTCCCTCCAGCCGCGTCCAGTGGTGCCTGGATTGTGAGGATACAGTTGTGCTGGGGGTTGAACCCTGGACCTCGTGCATGCTAAGCATGCCCTCTACCACTGAGCTCTGCCCTCCCCCCACGACATTTTGTATTTGTAGGCTCTCTGATGATGGCCGTTCTGACCGGTGAGGCGATACCCCGCTGTAGATTTGATTTGCACTTCTCTGATAGTTAGCGGTGTTGAGCCCGTTCGCGTGCCTGTTGGCCGTCAGCATGTCTTCTTTGGAGAGACGTCCACTTAGGTCCTCTGCCTCCTGTTCGATTGGGTTGTTTGTTTGTTGTTGTTGTTGAGCTGTATGAGCTGTTATTGTGATAATCATGTTCTTTTTCTCCCTTATTTATGCGGCAACTTTTATGGATAGACTTATGGTCCTGGAATCCTCCTTGACCGTGCTATATTTAATATACTCTTGGCGGGGAGGGCATATCTCCAGTGGTAGAGGGCGCGCTTAGCATCAATCCCCGGTACCTCCATGGAAAAACTAAATAAACAAACCTGATTACCTCCCCCTGCCTGCATGAATAAACAAATAACTCTTGATGCAGTTAGCCACTATGTTATATATATTATCTATGTGTTTGTATGTGAGATGGACCTCGGATTTTCTTTCCTTTTACTAGCCTTATTTGGTTTCAGAATCGAGGCTGAATGGGCACTACAGAATAAGCTTTCCTGTTCACTTTCTCGGGAATAACTCAGTTAAGATAGCAAGTATCTATTCTCCAAAAGTTTTGAGAACCCATGTTACAGGATTCAGCTGGGCTGGGCTTTGGGGACAGGACACTGTGGCTACCATTTCAATTTATTGAAAGCTTACTAGCCTATTCCTGTTTCTTCTCAGGCCAATTATGGTATATTTTTATATTTTTCCCCAAAATGTGTCTGTGTTTGTTTAGGTTTCAGATGTTTTAGCTTATAGTTGTTCATAACACTCTTCCAGAATTTTTAAATCTCTTTCATTCAGCTTTTTCTTATTTGCGTTTTCTGTCTTTTTTTCTTATTCAGTCTTGCCAGAGGTGTGTCTGTCCTAAAAATCTTTTCAAAGAACTACCTTTTTTTTAATATTCTTTATTGTTTGTTATTGTTTCTTATTTCATTAATTTTTTCTACTCATTTTTGTCATTTTTTTCTTATTTCTTCGGGTTTTCAACTTCTGAAATGCGTGCTTAGCTCATCTGTTTTATCTTTTTTTAACTTCATAAAATATTTTGTTTAAAGTTAAAAATTACCCACACATACTGCTATAGCTATGGGCCTCAAATTTGGACAAAAGTAGTTCTAAGAAGCATGTTTTTCACATTTTAGCATCTCTGAAATCGAGACGCCATACAGTCAAGAGCATGACAGGTTTCGAGCAGCAGTTTTCCCTTTCTTAGTCGTGTGTCAGATTAGGGTGCGTCTTAATCTGGAGTCAGTTGTGCATTTAATATGCCTTTAACACTTTACATTACTTCTCTTCCCATGTTGTTTTTGGTAGAATTGTTTCCTAAAGCAGACGGCTCCTTGATCTCGGCTCTCCTTGTCAGAATTCTGTGCGCTCTGTAACATCTTTGCTTTTGGTAGTCCAGTTTTCCCAGTAGCTTCGTTAATGTACTGTGGATGACTGAAAATTTGAGTATGTAGTGGATATGATATTAAATTGTGAATTAGTGGGACTTATGAAATGTAACAGCGTATCAACATTTGACAATATTGGTACTTGATATCCTGTTAAGGAAATTTGCTTCCAAATTTTCAGCTGGAAAGTCCCTGGAATAACTGGAAAAGAATCACAACTACATGATTTTTTAGATTTTTGGTACGTATGTTAAGAATTGTGAACAAATTGAAATGTCTGGGTACTGATCCTCTAAACAACCAATAAAATCTCAATTATGAAAGAAAAAAATCAAGGTGCATCTTACACTCAGTGGCATCTTCAAGTGTAGCAAAAAATTGCAGCGTGTTTTCAGTCTTTCAGCTCTAAGCGTTTCATAATTTCTCTTCTGGTTTTTTTAGCTCAGTTGTTTTTTAATTATATGCTATTTCATTTCCAGATACAAGGTATTTTTTAGGCTATTCTTTTTTCGTGTATGTCTAGTTTTATTACATAAAAGCCGGAGAAAACAGTCTGTATACTATTCTTAAGAATTTATCAGGACTTCCTTCTGTCTTCAACCTTTCTGTATCCTTGTATTTTAAGAGTGTCTCTTGTAGATGCACAGAAACATGATGCTTTTTTGGCTCCCTCCTGGTCACTCCACATCTGCCGTGGTTCAATGCCTGCACACAGTTGTGGGCATGCTCTAACCTCCACCCGGGTGCTTTCTCTCTCTGAGCCTCCCTCTCTGGCTCAGAGAAGCAAGGGCTAACGTTACCCACCGCTGAGAACCCTGCAGGGGTCGGTGACCTCATCGATGTGCCTGGCTTGTGAGCAAAGCTCAGTAACATTGAGTCAGATCCTACCCTGAAGGTCCTTTTGAAAAAGGGGCAAGGACTGTCCAAACAGAAGGCTTCATTACCTCCATCTTTGCCTGTCTTTATGTTGGTGACGCTGGGAGCCTTGGCCCAGTCTGTCTCCCCAGGCTCTGCAGAAGAGGAGCAATTAATAAAACGCTCTTGAAAGTTACCCAAAAAAATGTTACAAAAGTGCAAGGTGAAGAGTTGAATCCGCTTATATTTTTTATTTAAAAAAAATTTTTTAACTGAAGTACAGTCAGTTACAATGGTCAATTTCTGGTGTACAGTGCAGTGTCCCAGTCATGCATGTACATACACATACTCGTTTTCATTGAATCCGCTTGTAATCCAGAGCAGGTGCAGGGGTGAGGGAGAAGCAGAGAATGACCCTCTTTCCTTGCTTTTATAGAATGCAGAGAGCAGTTTACAGCAGAAGAATGAAGCCATCACATCTTTTGAAGAAAAAACCAATCAAGTTATGTCCAGCATGAAACAAATGGAAGAAAGGTAATCACTTCCCCCTGGCAGACGGATATTCCCTAGAAGGAGCTGGGCCTGGAGACCGACTCAGAGTTTCTCTCAAAAGTACAGACAGGTTGGGATGCTTGTCCTTCAGGTCTGCAGTCTAGCCCGGCAAGGGGGCTGGATTCCCTGGCCTTGCCTAAGCATGTGTTCACTTAATCATCCTTTGGGTTCCTGCATCACATTGTCCCCTCGGGGTCAGAACTATCCGATAAGCTCCTTGTCACTGTCACATTTAAATATAGGTCAGTAGGGAATCAGAATAGGGTCAAAAAATAGACTCACACAAATAGAAGTAATTGATTTTTTTTTTTACAGAGGTGCAAAGGCAGTTCATTAGAGAAAGGATAGTCTTTTTAATAAATGATACTGGAACAATTGGACATCCATAAGCAAAAAAAAAAAAAGGAACCTCAATCTGTATCTCACCTTTATTCAAAAATTAACTCAAAATGGATCACTAATCTACATGTAAAACTTAAAACTATAAACCTTTTAGAAGAAAACAGGAGAAAATCTTTGTGACCTTGGGTAGACGAAGAGCTCTTAGACATGACATAAAACACGTTCCATAAGAGAAAGGCTTGATAAATTGGACTTTACCAAAAATTAAAACTTTTTATCTGTGAAACACACAATTAAGAGATTAAGTTACAGACTGGGAGGAAATTCGCAAATCACGTATCTGACAAAGGACTTGTATCCAGAATATCTAAAGAACTCTGAGAACTCAACAAACAGTCCAGTTTGAAAATGGACAAGAGACGTAAACAGACACTTTACCAAAGAGAACATACTGTTGGCAGATAAGAGTCTGAAAAGATGTCCAGCATCACTAGCCATTAGGGAGGTACGGGTTAAAATCACAGTGTGATGCCACTGCACACCTAATAGAACAGCTTTTAAAAATTTGTGAATCACTATATTGTGTACCTGTAACATGTAATATTGTGCATCAACTATACTTCAACTAAAAACACATGATATTGTAAAATAAATAAATGCCAAACATACTCTCATTACGTGACCCTGCTGGCTGTCAGCCGTAGAAAGGGATGACTGCTGATACACACGAAAACTTGGATTGATCTCAAAAGATATGCTGAAAGAAGGAAGCCAGTCCCCAAGGTTATATGAAGTATAATTCATTTACTTGGCTTTAGGGGCGGAGAGAGGGTGTGACTTAGAGGGGCAGCACTGAGGAGCTTTGCGGGGTGATGGAACTGTCCCGTATCACCTGTTAGAACTGACTGTGGTGCTGGTTACCTGAGCTTCTGCCTGTGCTAAAAACTCGTGGAACGAGCCACGCGAGGGAGTCGAGGTTACCGTATAGTAATTTTTAAAAAGAAAAGAAAAAAATTCAAGTCAGCAAGCATATGCAAAAGAATCGTACCGTACATCGTAAGGTTAGATCCTTTCCTTAACAGAGATTTGGTTCATTTGGTCTAGGTTGCAGCATTCGGAGAGGGCGAGGCGGGGGGCCGAGGAGCGGAGCCACACGCTGCAGCAGGAGCTGGGCGGGAGGACCAGCGCCCTGCAGCAGCAGCTCGCCCAGCTGCACGAGCAGTGGTAGGAGCCCTGCGGGCAGCAGGGGGCGTGGGAAGCGGGGCGACAGTCCCACTGCAAAGCTGGCCCTGCCAAGGCTAGGATTAGGATGAGAGAAGAGATGTCTGGGGGGGTTTGGCGGTGCAGGTGGTAATTAGGTTTATTTATTTGTAATGGAGGTACTGGGGATCGAACCCAGGACCTTGTGCGTGTCCGAGCTCTTCCCCGTCTCCCCCGTCCCTTAGCTGCTCGGCGTTTGCCTGCGCCAGCTTCCCGCTGCACGTCCCCGGGGCAGGTGGCCCGGGGGGAGGGAGCCTCACCTCCAGGCTTTGTTGGAGGGTCTAGATGTTTCTTGTCTCGTGACTTGGGTTGTGGATACTGGGTTTTCCATGAATTTTCTCATTGAAACTAACTCAAGTTTATTCGGGGAAAACAGCTCAAGTCTAGAGAAAGAGCTGAAATCAGAAAAAGAGCAAAGACAAGCTCTTCAGCGAGAACTGCAGCGCGAGAAGGACACGTCGTCCCTGCTCCGAGCAGAGCTGCAACAAGTCCAAGGGCTGAAGAAGGTATGGCGGCTCGTAGGAGAACGCGCGCTTCTAGTGTCTCCAGAAACCTCTGTGTGGGAGCCTCCCAGCGGGCGGCGACCCGCACGCAGACGCCCTCCTCACACCCTGCGGGCGCCTGCTCTGGGAGAAAGAGGCGAAGACTAGTCGTAAGCCAGTGAGCGAACCGGAGGGACTCAGTCACGAGGGCTAGGAAGGGACTAAAACAGGAGAACGCCCCCGCCCTGGGAGCAGAGCCTTGAATGGTGAACCGGGGCAGCCACGCGGGGACAGCGGGAAGGGGGAAGGTCCGCCGTAGTGAAGGAGCAGAAGGCAGGGCAGTGTGGCTGCGGTGTGACGAGCAGAGGAGGGAGGAGCTCGGGCCGGGAAGGAGACGCTGGCTTCTGGACCTCGATTTTGTCGTGTTGACTCTGGTAACGGGTCCTGCTGCAATTTGACCCGAGAAAGGCCCTTTAATTCCTGTTGGAAAGTGCCTGAAGCCCCTGGTGGGAGGGCCTGCTAGGCCCAGCGTGGGGATCGGTAGGGGTGGGGTAGGTTCCTCAAGAGCCACTCAGATTCAGAGGTGAGAGGAGAGGACTTCTAGAAAGTTCTGCATCATGGAACACACCCCCTTTAAGATTTGAATTACACACACCCTGCAAAGGAAACAACGTGTCTAGCATTACCGGTGAGCCCCAGCACCCCATTGTGAGCCTGCGCTTACAGGCTCGGGGCAGAAGGCCCGGGGGTGGCTGAGGGGACTGCCCACCACTCAGGCCTGAGCCCTGCCGCTGCCCCGGGAGCAGCCCTGAAACCCCAAGTTACTTTTCTAGGGCTTCACCAGCCTGCACCCTCAGGGTGCGCTGGCCCACATCACAAAGGGCGGTCAGCGCCGCTGCCCCCAGCCAGCATCTCTCCGCAGCGCAGGGCCTCCGGAGGGTCTTGCCACTGTCGTCAGGAGGGAGACCCCAGCTCTCGGCCTTCACCAGCCAGCCTTGCTCATTTATTCTCAGGAAAGTTTGACCAGCCTTTTCCGAAACACAGTTTATTCATAAACTAGCTTTCCCTGATGGAAGTCTGTCTTTATGTAGAAACTCAGACAGGCAAAGCGCTGTCTGCGCTGCGAGGGTCCATTGTTAGTGTTCCTGCCCCCGTCACTCTCCGCGCCGTCCTCCAGGGGCCCACTCCGGAGAAGCAGGCTAGTGAGAGGGAACGCGTGAAGTAGCCCTGCCTTGAATGAGGTTAATGTGACAAACTGTTTCTTGTTCTTGAAAAACATTCCAACCCACTTGTCGCTGTGATTACTAAACGTTTAAAAAAGGAGCGAGGGGGACTTTGATGTGTCGAGCATCTGGTGCGTTCGTTTTAGGAGCTGCGGGAGCTGCAGGAGGAGAAGGCCGAGTTACAGAAGGTTTGTGACGAGCAAGAACAAGCCCTCCAGGAGATGGGTCTGCACCTCAGCCAGTAAGAACCCCAGCCCCTCCATCTGCCACCTGCAGGCACACCAGCCTGCCCCCCACACTCCTCGAGCCCCGAACGTGACGAGGTCCTGCCGTCAGAGGCGGGAGGGCCAGGCGGGGAGGCCTGCCAGCTGTTCAAGGGTCCCCTCCCTGCCAAGGAAATGGGCCGCAGGGAAACAGTGCTGTTTGGGGTTAATTAATTCATGAAGAATATCCTTTTTCTGGTGCCCGGAACCCTCATGTTCACTAACTCAGTGTCTAGGTCCCGAGAGAACCAGGTGGGTGATGGGAGGGCTGCTGGCGCGGCCTGCTGCCAGAGCAGAGGGAGTACTGTGGCTTGAGGATGCGAGCCCGCCACGGGGTAGGAGGGCACCCAGCAGGGCCGTGTGTCAGGGCAGCCCAAGCTCCTCCTGCCGGGTCACTCCCGCTGAGGCCCCGGGTTGGCCACGCCCACCTGAGTGCCGCGCAGGCGCGGTGAGCGGGACAGCCGCCCCCACCCCCACCGCCGCACGAGTACGCCGACCAGAAAAGATCCAGAGACGCGAGCTGCCGTGAGCAAAGCAGGCGCACGCTCAGATAGCGCACACTCGTGCACAGCTGTGGGGGTTTCCTGTCTGTAAAGCTGGGAGGTGTCGAGCAGTGCGCTGGGCTGGCCCACAAAAGTATCAAGAGAAAGGAAAACAGTGGGACTCTGGTGGGAATGTGGTCTTTTCAATGATCGGACATGAAGATGCTGCTCGACCGCCATCCTCTCCCACTCACTGTGTCTTCCTAGACCAGCTTGGGGCTACTGATCCATCACCTTCTGCCCCGAGCACACCTGCCACCTCTCAGGCTGAGTGCCCTGTGCGGCTGCCCCCACCCTGAAGGGAACTCCTTGAGAGCGGGCAAGGTCAGGTGACCGCTCCGAGGGCGTCCCTGAGACCAAGGAGAACCAGGTGGGAGGCTGGCGTGGCCCTGGCTTGGCACTGGCTTCTTGGGTTTGCAGTGGTGTTTAGAGAGAGGGAGAGGGAGGCGTCCTCGGGACGCCCTACCCCTTCTCAGGAGGCTGGCACCACTTCTTTCTCCTGCCTGTCCTCTTCACATTGGACAGACAACAAACATGGTCAGGGACACACTCCTAGTGGGCACAGGCCTCAGAAACACGGGTGGGCTCTGGTCTTGAGACGCAGCCCTGCACTTGGGGCCTCCCAGCACTGCTGCCCGACCCAGCTTCAGAATGTCCTTCACAGTCAGGTTGTGCAGGGGTTGCTGTCGGGGACACACACCCCTGATGGAAAAACCTGTTCTCAGATGCCCCTACCAGCTACAGACACGGCTGCCCAGTTTCTCTCTGCTGTCAAAAAGCCAAAAGCTGACTGTGGGTTTACTTGGTAAGAGTTTGGACGCCTCCCTAGTGAGGCTATGAATGATCTCTCCCTGTCTCTCTCTTTTTTTAAGGTCAAAGCTGAAGATGGAAGACATCAAAGAAGTAAATAAGGCACTGAAGGTACTGGATTATTAATGTTCTTATCATAAGAATCACTGCTCACTGGTCAGCTGGTGCTAATATCCTCACGTGCTCCTAGGCTTTCTCACAGCAGTCGGGTGAGAATGTGTCGGTTGAGGGTGGCTGTTATCACTCGATAGGAGAATGCTGCTCAGCCCTGTAACGTGGCTGAGACGGGGACGCTGACAGGTGGCAGGGAACCTAGGTCCTCTGGTTCCTCTGCAGTCAGCCAGTTTAACATTAGGCCTCAACCACAGGTGCCCCAATAAAGAAACGAAAAGTGGCAGAAAGAGATCCAGGGATTTATTTATTTATTCCTTAGTAGCTCCCCCTTATTTTATTTATTTTTTATATAAACATTTTTTATTGAATTATAGTCATTTTACAGTGTTGTGTCAAATTCCAGTGTAGAGCACAGTTTGTCAGTTATACATAAACATACATTCATTGTCACATTCTCTTTCGCTGTGAGCCACCACAAGATCCTGTGTATATTTCCCTGTGCTACACGGTACAATCTTGTTTATCTAGTCTACGTTTTGAAATCCCAGGGATTTATTTTTTAATAGTGAGAGTAAGACCTTTCCCTCCAGGGGAGGAACCGAGGCCTCCCTGCCCCACTAAAGTGCCCGGTGCCGTTTCTGGGGGCCACTTAAGCCCTGAGCCAGGCCAAGTTTCTAGACGTTTTGGGGAGGGCAGAGTGGCGCGCAGCACTGAAGGAGAGAGGAGCGTGTGGTCTAGGTGACCCTGTGCGGTGCCAGCTGGCCTGCTGGGGCCGGAAGGTGGAGAGGAGGGGGCGGATGCTCTGATCCACCGCCCCCTCCCAGGGCCGTTCAGAGGCCCTGCCCCTGCTCCACCCTCCAGCCTCAGCCCCGCTGGGCAGCAGAGCACGGCGCCGCGGCTGCTTCACAGAGCAGAGACCCTGATGTCTCCAGGCATCTGACTTCCAGGCTCCGCCCATCAGAAGAGGCAGACTGTCACAGCAGGTGACAGCTGCCTGTGCTTGCAGTTAGCATCACTTTATTTCATCCTCCCTTGTAGACTGGAAGTTCCTTGGATGTCTTTGCTGTGAGCTGTTTATGTCCCCTGCATTACACAAGTTTGCACAAAATAATGTCGGCTAACAGGGCCAGAGGGGCAATAAAAACCATAAAATGGGACTGCAGGGCCCAGAGCTGTCAGACACGAGGCTGAAAGCCCTGGGCGCGGTGCTGCAGCCCAGTCCTGAGATCCCCCTGTGTGAGAAGGAAAGTGATGGCCAAAAGATGGCCAAGGAGCCAGAAAAGTACACTGGGCCCTTGACCCCTCGTGGCTCAATCATTCGTTTACCCTAGCTTTCCCATGGAAAGACCTGCCCACGTTACTCTGAGGATCGGAGCTCAGCATGTGTGGAGAAGGGCTTCCTGTCTCCTCAGCACATTCCCGGTCTCTTGGCAGGAACTGTCCTCACGTTTTCTGGTCTGGCTGACACGTTGGCCCTCCTCCCTTCTGCCAGTACAGGAGATACCTTGGGTAACGTCTTAGCCAGGGTTGGGGTCACGAGCACCAGATGCTGGTTCCGTTTTCCTTAGCCAGAAGGCATTTAGTGAAAGGGGGTGGGTGAGCCTCAGGTTAACAGGAGAGTGGAGAATCTGGTTTGAGGGAGGCCCAGGGGGCAACCTGCAGAGGCTACAAAGTCAGGGTCGGGGACAGTCCCGTGAGGCCACTTCAAGTGGGGAACAGGCAGCCCCTCAAAAGGAAACCAGGCGCTTTGGGAAGGGACTGCAGAGGCCTGGCTGAAGGATGAACACAGCTAAAGGCTCATCAGGGGGTGAGCCATGAACTGGGACTCTGTCCTTTCCTCCTCAGGGCCACACGTGGCTGAAAGATGATGAAGCAACGCACTGCAAGCAGTGTGAAAAGGAGTTCTCCATCTCCCGGAGGAAGGTACGTGGGGTGGACCTCCACCCACTCACCCAGGGCATGAGTTGGCGCCCTGCCCAGGTACCCTTTCCTGTCCTGGAGGCCTGTGGGACTAGACCCACCGCATCGTGAGCACGCACCCTGGTCTGCCTCCCCATGCAGATGACTTTTGGGTCCCTGGCCAGCCTGTCGCAGGCCTCGTCTCCCCCCGTCCTCTCAGTGAAGGGCAGAGTTCTTTGGAAGCTGGGGCTGTTTGTGTGCAGAACTGGTCTAGGTGTGTCTATCAACTGAAATTCTTTGTAAGCAACAAGACCAAAGTCTGGCTAAGTTGGGCAAAAACAATCTACAGGGAACCCACGGGCAGCAGGTCTCAGGACAAAGATCCAGGTGGCAGCAGCAGTTCACTGGCAGTCTGCACAGCGCACTTGCCTCTGCCTGTGGTGTCAGCCCTCGGGTGCTGGGCCTGGCCTTTTGTCCCAGGTTGACGGGGCAGTGATTGACCAGTTGAGCAGGACAGAGGCAGTATATAGACCCCACGCAGAACAGGGAGCCTTCAGTAAATGGAGAATGCCTGCCACACTGCCGCCACCACCCACCTGCACTGCACGGATGGATGCCTGTTCTCATCTGCCTCGTTAACAGCCTCTCTGTGAAAAAGAGGAAGCAAAACTTCTCCCAGATTCTTGTCAGTGCCTTGCAATAGGCTCAGAGCTAGAAATAACCCTCCTGAGACTGCCTCTGAGATCATGCTTGTCCGCAAGGCCTGCTGGAAGTTGAGGTCCCACAGGCCTGCCTGGCTGTCCCCACACCTGAATGGCCCAGCTCAAGGTCCACTGTCTAGCCTGATTAGGGCGGGTTGTTGGCAGAAGTGATGTGTAGAGCCTGGAGGAGCAGGGGCCGCACGGGTCCTTTTCTCGGTGTGAGCCACGGGCCCACAGTTCACGGCAGCCCTGTTTACAGAGAAAGACCCCCTCTCAGGGAGGGGCTGGCCAAAAAAACATTGGGTCACCACCAGGGAACGCAGCAGGTACAGGGAATGACCCCAGGCTCTTTTAAGTAGTGTGGATTACAACTCACTGAGTCAGAGTTGTCAAGTCCAGTGAAACACAAGAACCTTACTCATGCCAGGATGCACCCCTCAGCCAACACCCCATGGATTTTACAGGAACACAAGTGTAGAAACACAAAAGACGTCTACAAGAACCCCTTCCAAACGGATACATGCCTCTGGGCTCGGGGAAAGGGATTTTACAGTATTAAGTAAACTGAAAGGCCGAGGGAAGCCGTGGGTGTGCGGGTCCGTGGAGCACAGCACGTTCCGTGACTGCTTCTTTTCCATCCTCCAGCACCACTGCCGAAACTGTGGCCACATCTTCTGCAACACGTGCTCCAGTAACGAGCTGGCCCTGCCCTCCTATCCCAAGCCAGTGCGTGTGTGTGACAGCTGCCACACCCTGCTCCTCCAGCGCTGCTCCTCCTCCACCGGCCCCTAAGTGGGGGGTGGGGGCTTGGAGGGCCTGCCTTCCGGACCTGTCACCTGGCCGGTCTTCAGGGGCCAGGGGTGTGGGCAGCTTTGGAAGAGTGCCAGATTGTTTGGATTCCAGGGTGGCCAGGGGCTTGGGAGGCTGGTTTTCCAAAAGAATCAAAGGAAAGAGTAAGATCCTCGCCCGGGCTGCTGGCACTCTGGAACACACGCAGCATGCAGGGCCAGAAGACGTACACACTGCTCCTTTCCAAACTGTATGGATTCAGCGCCTTGGGACTGAAGCTCTTCCTTCTCACTTGACACCACTGGCTTTGGTTCAGATAGAACTTTGTGATTTTGCTGTGGTCACTTTTCACTTTGCAGAGAACTGAACTATTTTGCAGCAGTCCCACTAGGGTTGTGAGTAATCAGTCCCTTTCTCACCACCACCACCCTCTGTCCCCCAGTGTGCCTTCCCTGCCTGTCAATTTACAATTTCACACCCTTGTGAATATCCATCGTTAGCCCTGCAATAAAAGCATTTATTTTTCACTCTGGTGCAGAAAATGGAGGTGTTTGTGTCACCGTCACAGGATGGTGCTCAGAGCACCCCCCACCTTAGGTCTAGAGGCCCTCAGTGAGGGCAGCTGTATTGGGTTCTGGGGTTGACTGTCCCTCTGCCCAGGTAAGCCAAGGACAAGTTGGGCCATTAAGTCCATCAGCAGGCACAGAGGAAGTACCTGTCACCAAAGCGTCAAAGTTGTTCCCTTATATACAAGGGAGTTGATTTCAGATGGAGACGTCTGTAGGGAAGCACCTTCCAGGCAGTCACTCTGAACGTCAGAGACAGTGCTGGCCAGGACAGGTGCTGCTTGTAAGCTGTGGAAAACTGGCTCAGAGCCTTCCTCTGGAGCCCCACCTGAGCGCATGCTCACTGCCCCTTCCCCAGACCAGAGTTCATGGCCTTGAATGTCCAGGTTCTGAGGGTTCAGGCTACTGAACTGTAACAAGCACTGTAATGCAATCCAGACAAGACAGTCTGTCCGTTTGTGGGGCCTCAGCCCTCTCCACCGTCCATGGGCTCACCCCTTGCTCACTGCCCGTCTCTACCTCCCACCATCTCTGGCCTGGTCTTAGCTGTCCGGCCCCTGCTTGAGGGCCTGGCTTCCCTCCTGGGTGCCATCCCAGCAACCCACAGCCTGGCTGATTCTGTACCTGCTGCTCCCTTAATTACATCTGTGTTACGGGTGAGAACCATGGGGGCGTGCCCAGCACCAAAGCCACATTCCTTCCAAGCTGCAGATTTTTCAAGCAGAGGGGCCCTTCTCCCTCCCCTCAGTTAACCTGGGCAGCTTCTTTAACCCCATTTAGGACCCAGGCCCACTTTGGAAGTTTACACTACCCACACCTGGTCTGGCGCTAAATGTCTGTACCTTGTTTTCAGAGCACCCAACTCCGACTCCAGCTTGCTGGGGAGCCTTAGGGAAGTCTCGTCACTTCTGAGCCTTAGCTCTCATCTGCACACATAAAAAAGGAAGCCAGATAACCCTCCCTACTTCAAGACTGTGACGACAGCTCAGTATGAGGTCCCCACCACTGCCACACTGAGTGCCCTTGGCTTTGTCATACCTGTTTTCTCCCAATCCAGCCCCTCTGCCCCAAGCAACGAATGTTCAACAAGCATCACTTACAGAGGATCCTTGTGCCAGTTACCAACATTCAGTTGTGTGCAAGAGAACACTTTTCTACAAAGACATCGAGTATGCACCTGAACTTTGAAACGCTGAGTCCCTGGTTTGGCAACCTCCCCCTGACCTGGGCAATGAGGGACAGATGGTTTACGGCTGTGCTTCTCCAGCTTAAATGCAAAGGTTGGTGACCTGGGGGTGAGGCTTGGGGAAGCGGGTGTCATGTTAAAATGAGACTTAGTGTCTGGATATTCTGGTTACTCCCAGAAGCTCCTGGGTAATGCCGGTCCCTGGAGCGCAAGGTTGCAGAGAACCAGAATGGTTCTAGACACTTCAAAAGCCAAATGGTTCCAGATTAGCTTACTCCCCAAGTGTCTAGTTCTTGTTCCTTTTCTTCCTCCAACAAGCCGTGTTTTTCAACAAAGATGTGCCTTATGAGAAACTGAAGGACCCAGAAAAGGAACCTTCCTTGTATCTTAATTCCCCATAGAATAACACTTTTTATGAGGGTAGTTAATGAGTGGCAGTTCCCACGCTGCAGTGTTCTCTGAAAGGAATGAGGTTTCCTAGTGAATGCTGTTCAGTCATCTACTTGGACTGGTTTCTGATTTAATCACATTGTGCTCAGAAATGCTTGGTATTCTACCTTATCAGTTACACGAAAGGAATGAATTTTGCTCTTAAGGAGACTTTATCTTCAGAAATGAGAAAAAACTAAAGATTGAAACCTCAGTTTAAAGTCCTCTATGAATGAGCTAGCTCCTAAGAGACATCCTATATAAGCAAAATTCTAAAGATGCCATCAGAGGGGGGGAGGGCAGCTCCTCAGTCACCCCACCTGGCACTTCCTCGGCCATGCTTGGAGGTTTCCCGTGGACATGCAGAACATGCAGTGAGAACACCTCGGCCTCTCCCTTGGCTTTGTGCAAGTGCTTAGCAAGTCAAAGGCAGTTCAGATCAGGTCCTGTGCAGCCAGGCCAAACATACAGCCCTTCCACAGGGCCCCAAAGCTACCATTTACCTTCAGGTTATACTGGAGGAAGAGAAGTCTGAAGACATCTACACAACAGCCTCAACTGCCGAGCCTGTGCCTCAGAGACGTGGGCCACTGTCACCTACGCCCCAGGCAGGAATAGAGCACCAAGAAAGAGTCCACATGACACTGAAGCACAGACAAGACAAAGTGCAGTTTTTAAAAGGAAGATTTATTTGACAAGTTCCACTTAGCGCAATACACCTAAAAGGAAATCACAATACAATGAAGATTTAAATCAAGGCCTCAGAATTTCATACAAACACCAAGACCAAAATTCCTAAAGTATTGGTATTGCGTCTCAAAATTTCCCCATTAACTTAAAAAAAAAAAGCTTAAACTCACGTGCCTTAGGTTATTAAATGAAACTAGAATTAACAAACATGCCAAATGTTTCACTTTTAATTGTAGACACAGCTCCTATGTTGAGTTTTACAAAAAGGCATGTCTTTCAACATGCATCCAAACAGTGTTCAATGTAATGTATAAGAGCAACATTTAACATAATTCAACTGCTTTAACCTAAATACACTTACTGCTTAAGTACATCCTACAATGTAACTAACTTGAGAAAAGCTGAAAATTATTTAACAGTTATAGTTTACTCAATTTAGTTGTTACACCCTAGATGAAAGTTGTGTTCAAAAATACTGAACCTGACTGGTCTTTAAAACAATCCTGATTTCCACTTAGAGTAAGCATAAATCACAAGCTCGTATTGCAAAACTGTTAAAACTTAAGTTTTTGTTTTTCTTTTAAAAAAAGGTTGACCAAGAGTGAGTGATCAGGACCAATTACATTCCCCATCCACCACTCATACTGGACATGCCAGACAGCCCTCCCATTCCGTTCACTCCCACAGACGCTCGGCTTCCACTACTGTAGTAGCTGCTGTTCACTGCGCCTTGGCTGCCTGCAAAGAGATCAAGTTGACAAGTCAGGAGAAGCATCAGGTCAGCAGTCAACTAAAATACAGCATTCCAAGAAAAGTTTAAAAAGTATACGAGTACAAATGGCTGCTGTCCAAGTGGCGAGAAGCATGTTTGGGAAAAGGGACTCCCGACTCCAAACAAGTCTCAAGTAACCCCTTTTCTCTGCAGCACCAACTTGCCAGACTCGCGTGCTACCGTTTTAAGTGGATGCTTCAGGATCAACGTGGAAAATTTAAGTTTAAAGGAAAACTAGTGTTTTTCAAAAATTGCAGAATTACTTCATGTTGTTTTTAAAGCTAAACAAGGCATTTTAAAAAAATTTTACCATAAACATTCACAATGTGTCCATTGAATGGCATGTATGAATAGGGAGCACAGGGGCAGTCTCTTGCTTTTCCTATTCATGGTGGGCAGGAAGTGAGACAACAGAGCTGGACTAAAGGCAACTCACTGTGCCCAAAATGGCAGCCTCCATGGAGTTAAGTCAGAGCCATTGACTGCTATAGAAATAGTGTTATTACAACATATCAGTATTTGCTATTGGGAATTTAAATTATATTTTTTGAGAAAATATTTACCTATGCAATGTTTGATTGAAAATCACTGGAGTTTTCCTGTAAAACTTGGTCTGCAAAAGGATTTTGTAGGGTAAGACTATAATACCAAAATCACCATTCTTTAGACCAATTGAAAAAAAAATTAATAAATAAAACCAATCTGACTAGTTAACTGACTAGTAAATACGGTCCTGAGCCCAACCACCATTCTACCATTTAAAATTCTCCCTCCATCTAAAATGGATTTAATGCAAACAAAAAGACAGAAAGAGTGAACTATTTTATTTAATGTTTTAACAAATGGAGGCAGATGTTTTCTGGCTCGACATTATTCCAAGTTGCAACAATGACTGAATGACTATTTTTAATTAATGAACACTTCCCCCCCCCAATTAATTAGATCAGTTACATTAGGATCAAAAGTATACATTTAATAACCCAATTTCACCAAAAAGAAGCCTACGTATTCCCCCAACTAAAGGAACCTGCCTAGACCTTTTCCTAAGAAATATAAAAAAAAAACACACTTACCATATCCACTCATGCTGCTCTGGCCACCATAGCCGCCTCCATAACCACCGCTCAGCTGCTGGCTGGCTGGACCCCCATAGCTGGACTGGTTCGCTGTTAAGTTAAGAGAACATTAGAACCCTGTTCCTTATGTAATGTGGTACCTGGTGGTACCGGGCTTGTAACTCTACGTCTACTATTTTCCAGTCTTGATCTTACATTACTATAACCCTCTGCTTCCTTCTACATACTGACTATGATCAGACTAAATTTCTAACCATCATTTGAACTAGTCATTCATAATCCACAAGGCCAACAGTATACACATCAGCAGGACTGAATCCACATGGTTCCATAAGTAGAGGCATTTTGAGACCTTATGAAACTGCTTAAGTGGTTTTAGTGGGGTTTTCACCCCATAATTTGACATATTACGGATAAGTACAAGTATCACTGAACATCTAATTATGCCCAACTAACTTATGCCCAAATTTTAAAGTTATTCTGACCCTGTGTTTTTTTTGGTAATTATTACTTTTAGATTTACACTTCATATTTAAGACAATTCAACTACTTTCTTTCTGGTAGTCCCCTCCCCCAAAAGTACTTCCAACTAATTACTTATCTAAGCATTTTATGCAACTCACAAGGACTTAAGGCAGACACACAATTCAAATCAAAACTTTTCTTTGCCTAAATTATGCTAAACTCATTAAATATAAATTAACTTAACTTATATTATTGACTTATACAGATATAAATGTTTTGGTTTTTAAAAAAACTAACGATATTTACACAAGCCCATGCCTCCCATCATTTGGCTACCATAAGCACCACCGCTTGCTCCTGCTGTAGAATTCAAGAAGAGTTCTACATATCTGTGTTCTGAAATGAGAGAAAAGGCATACAAGGTTAGCTTAAAAAAAAAGACACTAAAGTGATATTTACACAAACCCATGCCTCCTAGCATTTGGCTACCGTAAGCACCACCGCTTGCTCCTGCTGTAGAATTCAAGAAGAGTTCTACATATCTGTGTTCTGAAATGAGAAAAAAAAAGTTTGAAAATGTTTGTTGGTGAAAGAAAACAGGATAAGCACTCAAGTTCTTAATTAGATCTGTGAACTTTACTTCTGGTAACAAAATATTCTAGCTGCTTTTCAGGTAGTTTATGTAGGTTTCAAAAACCCTTTTAAATGTTCATCTAAATTGCTTTAAGTTTGTCATTTAAAGATATACTTTAAAAGTCAGTGTTCGTATCACAAAGCCCTTTCAATCAAACTAACTTAAAACCCCCACATTTTTAAACATCCCACAGAATTAACCTTATCACTGGAGAACAAATATTACACCCCTCCTTACTATCTATCCTCCTTATCCTAATCATCTGTCACACAACTACCTGTAGAGAGAAGATCCTTAAATCACACTTACGCATATTTGCTTTGTCTTTCGACATAGCTGCCACAGCATCTTCGTGAGTTGCAAACTCGACATCTGCTTCCCCAGTTACTCTGCCATCAGGACCAATTTCAATATGTACTCTCACAGGGTTGAGTGGTGAAAAAAACTAAATGTAAGGTATTTCAGAGAATCAAGTCAAATATTGATACAAAAACCATAAAATTTTAGCATGCTGTTTCACTTAAATAGCTTAAGAACCATGTTTTTAGTGCTTTACTGAAATAGACAACTCGTGGACTTAACCTACACTTACATTATAAATGTCATTCTCAGTAGCTCTGTAAGGTAATCCCCGCATGTGTACACAGTGTCCTGTTGTGCTCTGGAAAGTAGAGCCACCATCCCCGTATCTGTGATCTGACATTCCTGAAAAACAATAATTTAGGTCTAGATGAACAAGAGTGTAAGTACCCTTCAGATGAGAAATCCAATTCTTACCTTACCTCTTCCAAATCTATCTGACCCAAATCCATAGCCATCATTATAGCCATTATAATCATCATAGCCTCCATAACCTGAAAGACAAAAAGTACAATCACTAAATAGAAACACTTAGCACAGACAGACCCGTGACGCCTGCATATTCTCACCTACCTCCACCATAAGCACCACGCCTCATCCTTTCAAAGCCAGCTCCTCTGCCAATGCTGTTATACCCTCTGCCAGCCCCAGGTCTGTCATAGGGACCTGGCCGCTGCATGGCCATAAGTTTTCGTGGCGGATCATAGTGAGTTCTAACTTCAGCTCGACTGCTCTTAAAGATTTCGATATACCTAAAGCATTGTCCAAGAGGGAAGGGGGTGGGGAGGGGAAAGAGAACATTAGTTCACTTCATACAGGTATTTAGTTACACAAGAAAACAATGTAGTCATAGCCATGAAACTGACTAATATTTAAAGCCAGATTTCTTATATTTGCATAGGCAATGACCAGAAATTCACTCAATTTTAAGATTATTTAATGTAAACTTAATAGAAAAAACTCACTCCTCTGAGGCAAAGCCCAACCTTAGGGGTAGAGAGGAGTACTGTAAATAAATGTTTTAGGAGGGAAAGATTTCCACTCAACTTTCAACATTTCATGTCTTAAATCCATTGGCAGCATGTATAGCAAGTGGGCTAAAAAGCCAGCCTCCACCAACAGTCTAGCCCACACTACACATTTCTTTTCGCCAATAAATACCCCAGCCTATGCTTTTAGTAGGAATCAGCATAGGTAAGCGCATGCTTCAATGAAAAATAGTCACAAGCAAAGAGAATAAAACCTTTTGTGACAATTTCTTGAAAGCTATGCTTATTAATACATATGCAGAATATTTATACAGCAAGAAAAGTTTGTTGCATTTCAACTTTAAAAACAAGATCAGAAAATATCACATTTTCTTATGGTAATATTAATTTACTAGGTGGGTGTTATTACAGCTAAAGCCAGGTTTGCATTAACATTTTTAAAGCCATAGTCTCTCAACTCCATTGACTGGGGTTAATTAGGACTTACAAAATTGGAAAATAGACCAAATTAACTGGGGACAATTTCAAAACCTAAAATTTAACCTGAAAGCATTATGAGACTTTGACATAGAAAAAGTTTTAAGACTGGGGCAAAACATCAATCAATTGGGGCTAGGAATCAGATTTTCTTCCTAGATTCTAAGCAGAGAGAATATGGATTTAATTGTTTACCATAAGAAAAGTGACAAATCCAACCAACCATCCATCCCCACCTGTGCCCTATTCTTTCCTTGTGTTTCTTTAGAGCCTTTTCAGCTATTTCCTGTGAAGCAAACTGCACGAAGGCCTCCCCCGTACTCCTCCCCTGGAAGTCCACCGGCAATGTTATCCCATTTGGCACGATTTCCAACCCTTCAACCCAAGGACAAATAACCCCAGTAGGGGGGCAATATTAACATCACAAGCCCAGAAATGATTCTTCTTATAGCTTTAAATAAACCAGAATTTTAACTTTAGGTGAACGGTATGCTTTCAACAAGTACTCTTTAAATATGCATTGCAGATAATATGAAGTTCCATTATTACAAACTATAACTCAATTCTTAACACAGCCCATGGCATGATATGTAAGAAAAAACTTGCTGAACACAGGATGTATTAAGAATTCAACAATTATTAGAACACATATTTATCTATGCAACTTAATGTTGAGAATTACACAAAAATTTTTAAAAGTTTCAAGCATTAAACACAACAGTTTTACTAAATTCAAGACACACCTTTTACCTCATTTCATATTTCAATGTTTTAAGTTAGTGGAACTTCAAGTTTTAAAAAAAGTACACATTTAAACATTTTACATACATAATGAAACATTGCTTAGTCATATAATTGACAAACATACAATCTAAACTTTCAACAAACAACTGATCTACACAACACAATCATGCACTCTTATGCTCTAACAGTAGTATGATTCACTTCTGGAAATTCCGTCTATGAAAAATCCTTTCCGTGGATACATTCCCAAGCTTACAAAAAGGGTTTAAAGCACTTTCCTAGAAGATATGAAATTATGTTCATATTTAACGTTGACAAATAGCATTCAGTTCTCACCAATTTAGACAAAAACAATCAAAACAGACTTGATTTCAAAAATTCTGGCAAAATATTAGGACTTGATACATATCTAAGTCAAAATTTTCATACATACTACACTAAACCATGAAAGGATTTGTTCTTAATTCCAGTTTATCACATCATGAATATTAAGCAATAGTATTTAAAATATATGCTCTAACATTCTGCTAAACATGCAATTTTATCAGCTCTTCAGCATAAAAACATTCAAATACTTTAGGCCCAAAACAATTTCAAAACACTTCCTGTACTTCAGATACTGAGACTATGTTCAACCTACACTTAGATTGATGTTCAGTAAGTTTATAATTCGCTAGCTAAACCAATTGTTTCTGTAACACTTTTCTTGCATAAAGAGAGCGTTAGACACATTTCTGGTCCCAAGACCCAGTGTCTTACAACACAGACACTTGCCATAAATTACAACCTAACTCATACTAATCTAATGTTAAGGGAGCTTACCTTTAACTTGAAGTACTTTGTTGAACAGCATTGTGAGGAAAGTAGTTAAGCTGTTGAGGACAATCCTCAAAGATCTACTCTGAACTACAATACTAAATATAGGCAAAGTTAGCATTTTGGAAGTACTTAATTTCCACCTTTAAGATGGGCTTAAATTATTTGAAGGTCTCCAGGAAGAAGAAAACATTAATTCATCTGCATATACTCAGCCTATTTAAATATCTAAGCTACTCAACTTTTTAAGGTCTATTAAATCATGTTGCCAGAAGCTAGCCAGAACTCACTGCTCAACAACAAACACGACTACATACCTGAGAAGAACTGAACAATTTCTTCCTTGCTACATCCAAAGGGGAGTCCTCTAAGCCGTACAAAGCCATCATTGGCCGTGTCAGGACTATTTGGACCAGTATGCTTCAACACCCAATCCATTTCAACGTTGTTTGACTTGAATACTGAAAAAGGTGCTTAGAATTAGTCAACTTTGGAAAATTAGATAACAAAGTTCAGACTTCCTGGGTCTTTAGATAATCTAGGAAGAGCTGCAAAAACTCTCTTAGATGACCATTTCCATGCGGTCAAATACCTAAAATTCAGAAGGGGTAAGGTAGATCTCTATTTGTTTAATGTTTTATTTACTGTTACTAGGGCAATGTAAATCAAACCTTCAACATATCTGTGTCCCATAGTTTCTCTGTCTTTTTTCAGGGCCAATTTGACTTCATCTTCTGATTCAAGTTCAACAAAAGCCTCGCCACTCGGTCTGCCTTCTCTGGTGTAGATGAAACGAATACCTTGAGCCCCATTTTGGATTTTGCAGTCTGGAAAGAAAACAACCGTTAATACAGAATTTAAAACTAAAAACCACCTCTGGGTGATATAGGTGAAATGCCCATTCATGCCCCCACTACAAAGCAGATAATCTGCAAAGCCTAGAATGATCAAAGTATTACCAACTTCTCACGAGCAAACTTCTGTATTCCCTACATGACACTTCCAATGAAGAAAATCCAATACTCAAAGCAGTTTCTTAATGAAGTTATCCCCAAGTCCTCACTATACAAGTGTCTCCATTAAGCAACCTTTGTAACTCCTCAGCAAACTTACTTCTGGACCTCGTGATTTTATGGCCATCTTCTGAACAAACTTAGCCTGGCATTCTGCCTTGGGGTATTTGATGGTTTTACTCTACTGGCAACATTACAATTTCTTGCTTGAATCCGAATTGCAAGGCCAATACTCACCTGAAAGGGGATCAATGTTACCAAGCTAAAACGCTCCAAGTTGCACAGCTGAAGCCAAACCCAGTCTTGCCCACTGCAAGGTGGCTTCCAGTGTACTTGGTTCTTGTTTTACAGGTCGTTTTCCGTTACACCCACTAAATTCAGATAGCAAGTCAATACTACAAATAACCTTCCAAAACCTAAAAATTTCTTCCAAATATCTTTCAGTCTAAACGTACACTAATAATGAGAACAAGGACATTTGGGATAAATTATTCAGGAAACCTACATACTGAAGAAAGCTACATTAGCAAAAAAACTTTCCTGGGCTTCAGTGTCCTCAACTGTAAAATGAGCCAGATCAAGAACTAGATGTGTAAGAACTCTTCCATTACCAAATCTTGATTAGGAAAATTGTCTGAAATTAAGAAGCGACATTTTAACTTTCCAAAGCAGAAAAAGAATACCTCTTTTCAAGGAAACACCAAATTGGGAAGGATTTATACTTTCAGATTTTGCAAGATATTGCAATTATTTGCCCAGCTACTGAACAGATTTTTCCAAATTGAGGCAGAAATTCCATCTGTCCCCCCAATCCTTTCTAAAGCACATCCATAGAAGAACCAGTACTGAAAGGTAGATAAAGAGAAAGAAAATCCGCCAGAAACCGCATTCCCGTGGAGCCGGGAGGGCGGGCGGGGCTTTCGC